GCCAATCCCTATTTGATTTATTTAAGTCGCTCTTCAACACAAGTTCTGTTCCCACGTACATTTTCTCTCTTCATAGGATAAACTGCCTTGTATTGAGCAACTTCTTGATCGCCATCAATCCTCAAGTAATAGTTATGTGTTGTTACTTTTGAAAAGGAGGGCTTTAAATCCCTGCATGGCCTCATTCCTCCCATGCTGTTATCTCCTCCAGCCCCTTAACCCTCCGAGATCATTATGCACCACGAATTCTGGCCTCTTGTGCCTCCTTTATTTTGTTCATTCCATCATTGGTGGCTGTGCTTTCAGATGAGGAGGAGCCACTAGAATTCTCTCCTCAAACCTCTCGAAGTCCCCACTGTCTTCTTGAAGATGCACGTTGAAATCTTTTTTGACCAAATTTTTGATCATCTGTGTAATACACAGCTTGGTGTCAAATGATGTTTTATAATACTCCCCCTCCCAAGTGGAGATGGTGGCTCAGTGGGAAGTCACTAGACTCATTAGTAATCCAGAGGCCCACCCTAATGCTCTGGGGACACAGGTTCAACTCCTACCACAGCACAGCTGGAGGAACTTGCTTTCAATTCCAGATTTTATTTTGACCTTAGAGGTATAGAAACTAATGGAGAAAAGAGCAAAGGAAAAAAAATCAATTGCCATTTAGCAGGGCAAGGCTTGATCAGGGATAGTCAGCACGGCTTTGTCAGAGGGAGGTCATACCCAACAAATCTGGTGAAATTTTGAGGAGGTGACCAAGTGTTCAGATGAGGGTAATGCAGTTAATGGACTTCAGCAAGGTTTTTGATAAAGTCCCACATGGAAAACTGATAAAGAAGGTAAAAACCTCATGGGATCAGGGTAACTTGGCAAGATGGATCCAAATTGGCATAGTGACAGGAGATGGAGGGTGAAGGTGGAAGGCTGTTTATGTGACTGGAGCTTGGTGCAGCACAAGGATCAGTGCTGGGTTCCTTATTGTTTGTGACATTCATAAATGATGTAGATGAGAATGTAGGAAGGATAGGTAAATTTGCAGATGACACAAAATTGTTTTGGTGGTTGACAGTCAGGAGGAAGGTGTTACATTACAGTATGTTATAGGAAGATACAGAAAGATTGGTCAGATGAAGAGCAGATGGAATTTAACCCTGATAAATCTCAGGTGATACACTTTAGAAGAAAGAACAAGACAAAAGAGTATGCAATGAATGGCAGGACGCTCAAAGGAAGAGATATCTTGGAGTGCTTGCCCACAAATCCACAAAGGTAGGACAACAGATTAATATGGTAGGTAAGGTGGCAAATAGGACACTTGCCTTTATCAATTACGGCATAGATCATCAGAGCAGGGAGGTCATGTTGGAACTGTACAGAGCTTTGGTTTGGTCACAGCTGGAGTAGTGTATGCAGTTCCGTTCACCGCACTAAGAATTGCGCTGGATGGGGTGCAGAGTACATTCATCCACTTTGCCTGGATGGAGCATTTCAGTTACGTAGACAGCCTGGATAAGCTCGGGTTGGAGACAATAAGGACTGCAGCTGCTGGAAGCCAGAGTCTATAGGTGTAAGGCTAGAAAAGCACAACAGGTCAGACAGCATTCAAGGAGCAGGAAACTCAATGTTTCAGGCTGGGGAGGGGAGCAAAGGGTTGGAGAGATGGTGATAGGTGAATACAGGTAGGGGGTATTGTTATTGGTCTGTGGGAAGGGTGGAGTGGATAGGTGAGTTGGAAGATAGAGAGGTTTGGTTAGGTCAGGGAGCTGACGGGGAGGGGTGGGCTGGACATAAGTCTGGGGGTGGAGAGATTTTGAAGCTGGTGACATCAATATTGAGGCCATTGGGCTGTAAGGTCCCAAGATGACATACCAGGTGTTGTTTCTCCAGTTTATGTTACGCCTCACTGACAGTGGAGGATATCAAGGATGGACATATCACCCAGGAGTGAGAGTGGGAATTAAAGTGGATGGCAACCGGAAGGTCGGGTTGGTTGGTGCGTGCAGAGCACAGATGCTCCATGAACCGGTCCCCAAGTCTATGTTTGGTCTCCCTGATATAGAGGAGACCACATCGGGAGCAACGGATGGAACAGATCACGTTGGATGAAGAGCCAGTGAATCTCTGTTGGATCTGGAAGGATTGTTTGGGGCCTTGGATGAGGTGACAGGGGAGGTGTGGGGGCAGGTGCTGCACCTTTTGCAGTTGCAGGGAAAGGTACTGGATGTGGTGGAGAAATTGTTGGGGAGCGTGGAGCTATTTTCCCCTCCTCTGTAATTAAGGATGCCCTCAACTGTACCTCCTCCATTTCCCACACTTCCGCGCTCAACCACTCACCCCAACAAGGATAGTCCCCTTAGTCCTCACCTACCACCCCACCAACCTCCGAATCCAAGGCATCATCCTCTGAAATTTCCACCACCTACAATCAGACCCTACCAGAAATATATTTCCCTCCCCAGCCCCGTCCGCTTTCCGCAGGGACTGACCATTCCACGACTCCCTCCTCAGCTCCACACTTCCCATCAATTTCTCCACCACACCTGGTACCTTTCCCTGCAATTGCAAGAGGTGCAACACCTGCCCCCACACCTCCCCAGACAATCCTTCCAAACCTGGCAGAGATTCACCTGCACTTCATCCAACCTGATCTACTGTATCTATTGCTCCCAATGTGGTCTCCTCTAAATCAGGAAGACCAAGTATAGACTTGGGAATCAGTTCGCAAAGCATCTGCGCTCTGCAAGCATCTACCAACTCAGCCTTCCGGTTGCCATCCATTTTAATTTCACCTCCCACTCTCCGGATGAGATGTCCATCCTTGGCCTCCTCCAGTGTCAGTGACACCAAATGTAAACTGGAGAAACAACAGCTGATGTTTCACCTTGGGAGCTTACAGCCTAATGCCCTCAACATTGACTTTACCAGCTTCAAAATCTGTCCAACCCCCGTCTTACCCCATGTTCAGGCCTACCCCTCCTCCTCGCCTCCCTGACCTGACCTAACCTGTCCGACTTCCTATTCACTTACCCACCCTTCCCACAGACCAATCACAATAACCCCCTACTTGCATCCATCTATCATAATCTCTCCTACCCTTCCCCCACCCCCAAACCCCCTCTATTTATTTCTGGGCTCCCCGCCCCCTCCCCAGTCCTGAAGGAGGGCTTTGGCCCAAAACATCGACTTTGCTGTTCCTCGGATGCTGTCTGACCTGCTGTGCTTTTCCAGCATCACACTTATAAGCTCGGGTTGTTTTCCTTAGAGCAGAGAAGGTTGAAGGGGATCTGAGGGAGGAGTGTAAGATTATGAGTGGCACAGACAGGGTGAATAGAAGGCAGCTGTTTTCCTTATTAAGGTCAATAACAAGGGGGCATGGTTTTAAACTGCACAGCAAGAGGTGTAAGGGGTGGGGGGAGATTTGAGGAAAACCCTTTTCAACCAGAGGGTAGTGTGGGTCTGGAATGCACTGCCTGGGAGGGTAGTTGAGATGGGAAACCTCACAATCTATAATAAGGTACTTGGATGAGCCCTTGAAATATCATAACATTCAAAGCAATGGGCCTGCTGCAGATAGCATATTTTTGGTGGCACAGACTTGATTCTGTACTGTGTGAGTCTATGAATGCTCCTGTGAAGCCTCAAATTTAATAGAAGCACACATCAAAGTTGCTCTTTTGTTTCTTAGCTTAAAGCTTCTATAAGTCCCCATTTTTCAACACATCCAACTTCACAGATCTTCCTAACACATAGCACTGTACCATCTCCTTCCCCAGCTTTGCCAAATTCACTGCTATTCTCACCTATTTCTGATTTTAGCACCAGCTTGACGTTCCCTCTGCTCCTGCAGCCGACTCCCAATGTTTCCAGCATTCGTGTACGCTCATTTCCAAGAGGTTTCCTATTATTTCACGTTGCCTCTGCCCAACATCTATTCAATATTTCCATTTGTTGATGTTCCTCTGCACTTTATCCTTCATGGCAGCACTTTCCTTGGGTTTATTTGATTTCCAGAAGGCAATCAACCAAGTACAACGACAAAGATTACAATGCAAAATAACAGCTCATGTGCAGGGTATAACATGTTAGCAGAGATAGATGACTGGTTGGTGAACAGGGAACAGAAGGTGGGCAGAAACTCATTTTTGGGTTGGCAAGAATGTGACAAGTGTGGTGTCATAGCAATCAGTATTGGGGTTCTCAGTTATTTACAATCTATATAAATGATTTGGATGCAGGGACTAACTTATTTAAGTTGCTTAATGCCCATTGAAATAATGTCCATTATGAGGGCATGAAAGCAGAGCTAGCTAAAGAGAACTGTCATATTAGGTTAAGGAATAGGTCAATATAGATGCAGTAGCAAACATTACAGGAGATATTTCAGAATACTCAGAATAGATAGATTCCAATGAGAAAGATAAATTCCAAGGATGGGCCTACCATCCATGGTTAATGAAAAAAAAAGTTAAAGATTGCACTAAAAGAAAAAGTATCTTAACCGCACAGAAATGGGGTGCAGGTGAGAAGAATGGACAGAATATTTAAAAGAAGTAATGACAAGATTAGCAAGGAGGGAAAAACTAAAGTATGGGAGAGAACTGATTAGAGAAACACAAATTCCTGTAATAATGGGATAAAAGCAAAATGCTACAGATGCCGGGAATCAAACAACAGAATGCTGGAGAAACTCAGGACTGGCACCACCAGAGAAGAGAAACAGAGTTAACGTTTTGAGTCCAATATGACTCTTCTGAAGAACTGTCAGTCTCCATGTCACCATGCATTTCCTAGAAAAACTGGTGAATTGAAAACTTTGAAAACTGAGGTTGATAACATGTTTGTGTGGGAAGGTTTAAGAATTACAAAACTGATGTGGGTTGATGGAATTGGGAAGCAAATTAGTGGTGACCTAATTTAAAGATGTAACAGGTAAATGAATGGTCTCGGAGTTCCTACATATAACAATATAGAAGCAGCCAGGAAATAAAGACACAAACAAATACTAATACTTATACATATAATCATTAAATATTCTATAACTCTACAGTCATACTAGCTTGTATTCCTTGGTATGTACAATTCCATGATCAGTTCCTTAGCTATACAAGTTCACTCAAAAATATTAAGAGTGTAGAAACATTTTAATCTGACATCTATATATACTGTTCTCAAAAAATAGTTTTATTTAAACTCCAGAAGGTTCAAAAATGTTTAATTTTTTTAAATTCAGAAATATTCTCTCCAACTTGGGTGGAACTGATATTGTAACACTGTGATTAAAAAAAACAAAGAGCTGCATATGCTGGAAATCTGAAACAGAAACTGCTGGAGAAACAACAGATCTGGCAGTATCTGTGGAGAAAGCAGAGTTAAAGTTTCAGGTCCAGTGATCCTTCTTCAGAACTATTAACTGGGTTTTCCCTCCACACATGCTGCCAGAAATTCCTCCAGGAATTTCTGTTATTGTAACACTGGACAGAGAGTTAGCAGGGAGTGGCAAGGTAGCAGATGCCAACCTTGCCGCTCAGCCTCCTGGTTCATTCGATAAATCACAAACGAGAAATCTCTTTGAGACACGAGGATGGAAGAATAAAACTTTGAATGCTGGTTATCCAAAAACCAAAAAGTAAAACAGGACAGGCACCACCAAACCAAACTCGTTTCCTAATCCTTCCAGACAGATACTGACCCATTTACTGTATGCACACAGAACTCCTCCCACCAATCCCTGTACGCCAACAAATACAAGTCGAGGAAGATTAAAAAAACCTGAATCACCCTCTACCATACCCAGTGTTCGCCACCTTCTCTTTGGGAATTGGCCATTACTGGAGGTCACGTGGTGCAAACCTCTAGCCCGAGCTGTGAAACAGGAGGGGAAGGAACAGCAGCACTATTCTAATCTTCTAGTAACACAAAGGTCAGTTAAGAGAACAAGCACTCTTAAATTTCAGGCACACCCCAAGCAGGGACATACACTGATGTGTAGTGACGCAAGCAGGGGGAACACAATAACATCCCACAAACATTATCAAGGGAGATGATTCATTCGTTTGGTTTTCAATAGAGTGCAACAGCTGGGTTGGACCTCTCACTAGAGCAAACCCTCAACAGTGCAGCACACTCATTTCTGCTCCAGCATCAGCCGAGATACGTATTAAAGTCCTAGACTGGTGCTTGACCCCACAACCTTCTCACTCAGAGGCAAAATGTGCTACCCACTAGGCATCAGGAATATCTGACGGACAGAAGGATGAACAGGTATATGCACCGAGGGAAAAGTAACAGGGTGGGGGGAATGATTGAAAATGGGGAGGGAGAGGAGGCAGGGGATAGGGAAGAAAAGGGGCAGAGAGGAGGGAAAAAAAGGAGGGAAGGAAAGAAGAGAAGAAGGAGGAGGAGAAGGAGATGGAGGAGGAAGAGATGGTGGTGGTGGTGTTGATGGTGGTGAGTGGGTTAGAGAACACGGAGGAGAGGGAGTGGGTGGAGACTGAAACACCAGTGAGCTGGTCTGATATTTTCACAAGATACGGGGTGCAGTGCAAAAATGCACCAATATTTCAAAGTCTTCTGGATTTAGGCACATTCCCAGCATTAGTGATACCATGCACCCTCTGAAATTAGCTCCTGTTTAAACTCAACTTATCCATTTAGTAAATTAGATATTAGAATATAGATGTCAATGTCAGAAGCAGCTGTCCAGGCTTTAGCAGATTTGGAATATTACAGTTTGGTTGCAACTTGAAGATTTTAGCTTGGGATGATATTACCAGGAGAATATCTGTGATACAGCTGGACAGGTCACTGGACCTGACTAGACAGATGGGGAGGCTATCAGTGTGAACAGGGTCTAAGCATGATGGGGACTGGGGATAAACAGGGCACAGAGCAGGGCTGGCAGACAGAGGAAGAGCATGGTGCAGTTTGGGGGTCAGGGGTTGGGACAATGCTGAAACAGCAGGGGAGGACATACATTTCATTGAAGCAATACTTGACGACACTCAATGTTCCTCCAAATGGTCAGCTCCCAGACACCTCCCAGTTTTACCCTCCCTGAATATGTTAAATCTGTTGGCATTATATGGGACCCAGGACGTCTACATTCAGTTAAAATGTGCCCGTGTTTGTATGTAACTTGATGTTTAGGCATTCATTCCACGCAGCTAGAACACTGGGCAAGCTAGGACTGGTATGACAGCCATTCTGCTGTCCTCTGAGTAAAGGGGCAAGTGTCACGTTTGTTTAAGTTATCCTCATATTCAAGGAGCTGATTCTCACTAATCCCCACAATCAGTCAAATATTGCACCCTTTAAACCTCCTGCAAATACAGTTCTCACTGGCATCTGTAGTACATAGTCAGAACTTAGCCACATGTTTCTGAACTCCAATTTCAGCCTTGAATATACAATCCTCTCCAGTGTGGACTGCAGTAGAGGATCTGACCCTGTTGCTGTTTAACAAGGAAAGTAATGACATTTACTGAAATAGAAAAAAAATGAAAACTGAGCCCTTGCTGGGAAAACAATTAACAGCTCCAACTTTAAAAAAATCTTTAAATAAATTAAAAATACTCAAAGGATTGTGCAAGACATAGCTGGAAGATCCCATTGAAACTCCCAGGGACAGCGAAGTCAGCACTTAATAGCTGTTAACCTGTTCAGAATGTCTCCTCTCCCTTATCTCCAAACATTCACAGATTGCAGATCTCCCACAATTTCAGCACAAAATAAACAAACACCCTCAAAACAGGCAGTGGAAGTCTGAGGAAATAGGGAAGGGAAAAATAACAGGTTCAAGATGAATTAGATCCATACAGAAGCTTGGAAAGTGTAGACTGGACTTTTGGACCTAGGTGATACCTGCTTCCTCAGCCACAAGAGGTAACTGTCTAACACCCAACATCTCAAAAATGCACTGATCAAATCTGTTGCTATTTCAACCTCATCAGTGAATCAAATTTCAAGCAGTAGGGATTAATGTCAGGTTGCTGACTGAAATCCAATTAAAGCTGAACAAAATAAGATACAGTTGACCCAGGCTCAATTAGCTCCAGTAGCTCTTGGCGTTTGCAAATGAATTCAGGACCTGGTGAGAAGTGAATCCTAAATCACAAAAACAACCAAAATTGAAAGGACCAGGTGGGAGGAAGAATTTGACTTGACAATTTCGATTTTCAAATTTGGAAATATTCAATAGAATGTCATTACTTTGTCTCCAGTTCAGGTTTAAGCTGCTGTTTAGTTTCCAATGTAGATTTTAAGTTGTCCATTTCATCGAAGTGGACTACTTTAGACAGGGAAGAACCATAACTTAAACTGAAAGGGAGAAAACCGAAGAAGATTTAACACTTGATTCTATTTGAACCTTGCATCCTCCTATGTTTTAAACCTGACTAAACTGTACCAGTCATATTTCTCAATGTGCGTTACAATGGGTTAAAATACATTGCCTTTTCTTAGACTGTTCAAATTAACATCCCAACATACGTCAATAACTCAATACAAGGACTAGTGTGTGGAAGCCAGGTTGCATAGCAAGTGCAAATTAGGGTCAGGTGACAGCTTTAATGTCAGAAATCTAGTTAAACAGGCAGGAGTCAGAAATAACATAAATCAGGATCACACAAACATAGATCACCAGCAGCTGCTCAGGGGAAAGTGAAGTGGGGTTGGCTGGGTTTGGGGTGTGGTGGTATTAGTCACAGTTCAGTTGAATCTCCGGACTTCATGGAAGAGGGAGGCAAGACTACCTTAGGCAAAGGTTAGTGACATAACCAGCTGTCATTTGCCTTGGGGGAAGGGAAGAAAAAGGGACAGTGAAGAATAACAAAAATTTAGTCTCAGGCCCAAAGCACCATTAGCGAGGTTCTTGTGGGGATAATTGGCACAGAAGTGACTTTTAGGCAGTGAAGTAGTTCTGGATCCCATCATCGCCAAAACATTACTCATTACAGAAAAGGATATAATCACTTGATTGTGATTCCATCCATTCCTGCCTGGTTAGGGGCTCACAGCACTGAACACTGATTTTTGATCATTACCTGACCTATTGGCAGAAGATGCCATTTCATTGTAGCAGTTTTACAGTTGAACTGATCACAGTAAATAACACTTCTAAATGAGTTCATTCATTCACCTCTTCTTGGATTTGGTGGGTGGTGTTTGAGTTTCACACAGCTACAGCATTAGGCAAACCTTGAGAAGCAGATGCAGCATGACCATTAACAGGTGCCCAGCTGACACTTAAGGAGTGGTGTATCCTCAGACAGCTCACTATGTGCTGTCGTTTATACCTGTAACCCGGTGAGGCAACAGAAAGTGACTGCTGCAGAATCACCAGTTTTTGCAGTTGTTGCTGTTTCTGAACAGACACTTTAAATACTTAACATGAGAGCATTTAACGCCAAACAAAACCAGGGAAGACGGTGCTTGAACATACGGGTGCCAACCCCTCAAACCAGTCTCTTTGGATGGCAGGTTTTACATCTAACACTTGGACCATATCTTGTACAGTGAAGAAGGCAGACAAAGGCAACAGCAGCAAAAATATCATTCCTAGAAGGAAGAATTTGAAGAGTCAGGTGAGGGGCACATAATAAACAAGTCTGAAGAGTCAGGTGAGGGGGGAGAAGACATGGTTTGTTTGAGCAGTCAGGGGACACAATGAACAGCAAGTCCTTGGTACATCTTCCAATTTTTTTAAAAAGCCTTTGTCCTTTAGAACACTAAACTCTCCTCACTAGACAGTTACCGACAGGGGTCCCCCCTCCCATCCCCACAAGTTTCTCTAATTAAAGTTAGTGCTGGTCTTAGTCGGTGCAGTTTCCTCCTCTTGTGAAGCACACACACACAGGGGAAGCTGGAAACACAATTAGATGCAATTGCTCGCTGTATCGCTCTCCCTCTCTGTCTCTCTCGCTGGTAAAGTAGTCACGCTAACGCCAGGATTGCAGCTGCTTCTGGTCGTATTCTGCTATCAATTTCTTAATGTGAGCCAGTTTGTTGTGTAGGTATTCACAGCGATATTTCTCCTGGCTGTAATTGGGATTTGTCTGCATAAAAACAAGAATGACACTGCATTCATATCATAGATCTCACTCTCACATACGCACACACACCTTACTTGTCTGATAGTGGCAATTTAAAATATAACCTTTATGTGGGAATAGTTTGATACAAGCTCTGGATGGGGCAGGAGTGGGGAGTGAAGGAGAGGCACAGGACAGTGTGATTAGTTTTGGTTTGCTCAACAAAGAGCAAGCACAGGCAGCAAAGGTTGAATGGCCTTATTCTGTTAACACCAAATGTTAACTAACAATTAGAAAAGCAGAGACCAAAAATTAATGCAATCATAAAACACTTGTGGATTCTAACCTAATAATTCACAATGGCTGAATGACATCCTCATGCACTAGAACAATTCTGTGACTGCAATTCGGTTGGTGAAGCCTGTGATAAATCACATCCAACTTATTCAGACACGACTGGCTCAATCCCTGGGGTTTATTGAGTTGGGTGTTACAATTAGCCTCAGGAGCAGAGAGGTATGGAGGGGCAGCATGGAATTGGTGCTCACTACCTCAGACTCCTATCAGGTTGCAGTTGATCTTCTACAGAAATGAACGACATGGCACCAGACACAAGGAAGGGGTCTTCTGGGATGGACACTGACAGGGAAGAAGAGAGGGTCGCCAGGGAGGGAAGGCGAGATGGTTCTGGGGAATAACAGCCCTGGCCCTGTGTGGGAGGCAAGATAATTTCAGGGAGAGAAGGGCCCGGTTCCTGGAGGAGAGGGGCAAAGGACCCCAGGTCCTGCAGGACAGGGATAAGGATTCTTTAGGTTGAGGGGCTGTTGGGAAGTGACCGGGGAGGCAATGGGCCGGGTGAAGGGGAAAAGCGGTCCCTGGGAGCAAAGGACATTTTATTGGGTCGGAGCCTTTCCCAGGGAGTCCTGGGAGGATAAGAGACCCAGGTCCTGGGAGAAAGAGGATCAGAGAGTCCTGGTTCCGAGCCTCATCACCTAGGATTGTTACCATGCAGTGCTCCACTTTCCTGTCGACTCCCCACAGCCCTTCAACCTTAAAATGTGACTGTGACTATCTCCTTAATTTTACTCAAATGTCTCAGCATCCGTAGTACTCTAGGGTAGTGAATTCACAAATTCATGATCCTTTGAGAGCAGCAATTTCTCATCTCTATTTAAAATCTGCTGCCCCTTATCTTAAAACTATGACTGTGCTCCAACTGCTTTGGGGGACAGCACAGTGCCACAGTGGTTAGCATTGCTACCTTACAGCGCCAGGGATCCCAGTTCGATCCCAGTCTTGGGTGACAGTATATGTGGAGCTTGTGTGTTCTCCCCGTACCTGTGTGGGTTTCTGCCAGGCACACTGGGTTTCCTCCCACAGTCGAAAGCAGCGCAGGTTAGGTGGACTGGCCATGCTAGATTGCCCTGTCGTAACTAGGGATGTGGAATTTAAGCGGATTAGCCATGGTAAATGCAGGGTTACAGGGATAGCGTAGGGGGTGGTGTCCAGGTGGAATGCTCTTTTGGGGGTCAGCATAGACTCAAATGGGCCAAATGGCCTCTTTCCGCACTGAAGGGATTCTATACAAGCCCCATTCCCAATGGGAACTTTAGCAATTTCTACATCCATTTCTGCTAGATACTCACCTTCTTAATTTTCCGATACTCCTGTAAGATCTGGTCATGAGTACTCTGAGGAAACAAGACGTGTAAAAGATGAGAAGAGCAACAGATATTCAGACTTTACAAAAGTACAATATGAGCCAAAGATGAGGACATCCCAAAGCCTCATGTAATTGAGTGGAATCCGATTTGCTGGTTCATTTTAAAATATTTGCTATGAGGGCAATATTCAGGTTATATGCCAATCTTCCTATTAAGCTCCCTTTCAAAATACAAATGCAAAAGCACTGTTAAAGTGAACCACCAGGAGGCAGAGCTGAGTGTCTGGGTAGCTGATACCTCAAATGGTGAGCAAACTGAGCATCAAACCAGAATAAGCAACTGATTCACTCCATGTGTTCAATCACCACTTGATCCACACACGGAAAGAGGGTATGGGGCGAGGGCGAGCATGAGTAGGAAATAGGGAGCTTCTCTAAAACATGCAAATAGTGTGCACAAAATCCACCTGTGGTTAGCTGCCCTCTCTCAGGCATCGACTGTGGTGGAGAGGAAGGTGAGAGGGGCAGCGTGTAAATTTTTTCTCAGATGGAAGTAAATTATCACGTACCTTGTAGTCTGCAGACCCAGGAGAGAGCTGTTTCAGCTCAGCGTCCAGTTGTGTAAACCGCCTGGTGATGCTCTCTATCCTGGAATGCAGGTCCCGGTACTCATTGTACTCTGCATTGAAATCAGTTTTGTAACCTTGTCTCTGCTCCTGTGACTCAATTGCTGCATATTTGCTGAGGAAGAAATCCACACCAGACAACACTTAGGTGGATGTAGAAGAGGAGGTATTGCTGCAGAACATTATGACATCGTTCAGTGCTGTACATAGACATACACTATGATGGGCTTTCTAAAAGTGAACAGTGCAGTTTTGCAAAGAAATGCAATGGCAAATATCTGAACGAATGACAGGGAATGTGCTTTCGGCTGTGTGGTTTCAGCAAAACTGCAGAATAATCAGTTTACATTCTGATAGTACAGTGGGATCTTTGATGTTCACCTAAACTGTCTGGTGAACCTTGCCTTTACTTCATATTCAAAGAATTGGAACACCAACCCCATGGCGCTGACCCTCGGTGCCGACATAAACGTATGAATTAGGAGCAGGTTCTAATCTACGTCAAGCCTGCTCTGCTATTCAAGAGGATTCTGGACGATCTGTTTGTTCCACACCTCCCTCTACTCCTGATAAACGCGTGATTTTTATTAGGCAATGAAATCAATCTGGCTCAATCTTAATAACATTCAATGATCCTGCTTCTGTAACCACTTGAGGCAGAGTCCCAAAATCACAGAACCCTCAGGACAAAACTAAACCATCATAAAAGGGTGTCCCCTAATTCTGAAACACTGACCCCTCGCTGTAGACTCACCCATCTCTTCCATATCCAGCATCTCTAGACCAATCAGGATCGTTTAGAATTCAAATAACTTCTCACTCTTCTGAACCCCAATAAACTATGTCCTCTCCACAACATGCCGTCCTCCCTATTCTTGTACCATCTGCAAATATGCTACCATGCTTCTGCTTCCCTCATCTAAGTCATCGATGTAAATTGTAAAATGCTGAGGTTGCCCAGCACAGATTCCACTGGTCACATTCTGCCAATTAGAAAAGGAGCTATTTGTGAATACTGAGATAACAAGGTGTCGAGCTGGATGAACACAGCAGGCCATGCAGCATCAGAGGAGCAGGAAAGCTGACGTTTCGGGTCGAGACCCTTCTTCAGAAAACTTCCTGCTCGGCCTGCTGTGTTCATCCAGCTCGACACCTTGTTATCTCAGATTCCCCAGCATCAGCAGTTCCTACTATTTGTGAATACTGTTTTCTGCCAGCTAGCCAATCTTCTGGTCATGCGAATGTTAACCCCACTCCCACACATACCATGTGCTTCTCCTTTGCACAATAACCTTTTACATGGGCACCTTGCGAAGTGTTTTCCAGAAATCCAATACAATACAGAAAACTCCAAAAAGTTGGTTAAAACAATTTCAGAGATTGGATTGCTCCCTACTGGCAAAAGTTGACAGGAAGGAATGGGGGCCAACTTCCAATATACTGAGCAACCTTGGAACATTGCTTTCTTCAGCCTCATAAAGGCCTCCATCTGTGTCAACCTGGAGAACTATAGGGCACCCTCTTCAAACCTGGCTATCCACAGAAACCAGTCACCATTCTCCATTGCTGCAAATGACAACCTACAAATGCAATTCTTACCTAGAGATCCATCACAGATCCAATACAAGTGCAAACGGGGATCAAACAAAGTGTCATTACAACCATTTTCTTGCCCACCCCCACTCCTGCAACACTGCACCCACCTCCATAAAGATCCCTACTGGAATGGAGCTTTTCTACAGAACAAGTGGGAAACTGTTCAGCCTGTGTCTCCTCCAGTCCACTCCAACCTCTGTCATCGATAGCTGTGGTAATCAAACAATATGCTTGTATATGCGCACGCTCAGAGGCTGCTCTCCAAACCATCCATCAACGCATTCATGGAGATGATTGAGAGAATGGGCCTGGACTTAAACACCTGGAATACAAGGGTCTTCGCCAGCTTGCTCTCTCAGTATAACCCCCCACCTTTCAATATCCATGATAATCCTCAACACTAGCACCCTGCAAGGCTGCGTACTCGGCCCCTTACTACGCTCCCTATACACCTGACAGCGTGGCCAAATTTCATCCGAACTCCATCTACAAGTTTGCCGATGACACCACCGTTGTAGGCCAGATCTCAAACGTTGACAAGACAGAATACAGGAAAGAGCTAAGTGTGCTTTGTGGCATGGTGTAAAGATAACAATCTCTCCCTCAACATTAGCAAAAGAACTGGTCATTGACTTCAGTAAGCAAGGTGTAGAGCATGTTCCTGTCTGTATTAATGGTGCTGAGGTGGACATGGTCGAGAGCGCCAAGTTCCTGGGAGTGATGATCACCAGCAATCTGTCTTGGTCCACTCACATGGATGCTATGGTCAAGAAAGCCTCTACACTTCCTCAGGAGGTAAAGGAAATTCGGTATGTCGTAAAGATTTTTACAATTTTTATAAGTGCACCATGCAAATCATTCTACCTGGATACATCACGGCTTGGTACGGCAACAGCTCTGCCCAGGTCCGTAAGAAAATACAGAGTGAACACAGCCCAGGCCATCACACGAGCCAACCTTCAATCCATTGACTCCATTTATACTTCCTGCTGCCTCGGAAAGGCAGCCAACATTAAAGACCCCTCCCACCCCAGTTATAATGTCATCCAACCTCTCCCGTCAGGCAGAACATACCAATAGATTCAAGAACAGCTTCTTCCCTGATGTTATCAGATTTCTGAATGGACCTCTCAAACTTTAAATTCAATGTTAGAAATCACACAACACCAGGTTTATTTAAAATCACAAGCTTTCGGAGCGCTGCTCCTTCATCAAGCGAAGTGGTGGGATGCACTCAGGCACAGAATATATAGGTAGAGAGATAATGGCAAGATAATTCCAGTCTCTACTCTATTTGTACTTATCCGTTCATACTCTTAATTACCTGGAATTATCTTGCTATTATCTCTCTGCCTATACGTTCTGTGTCTACACACCTCCCTCCACTCACCTGACAAAGGTGCAGCGCTCCAAAAGCTTGAGATTTTAAATAAATCTGTTGGACTATCACCTGGTGTCATGTGACTTCTGATCGCATCCCAGGCCAACACCGGCATCTCCACATCAAATCCAAAGTCAATCCGAGTGTACCCCAACTGTAAAGCTCGAATAAACCAGGAAATCCACTCCCTATCGTAGGCCAAACGTGCAACATTCAAGTCGAATGAGCCAGACCTATACAGGAAATCCAGATACAAAGCCATCAGGGATGTCAAGAGGCAGCACCAGACCAGGTTAGAGGCCCAAACCAACTAAACAAACCTCTGCCACCTATGGCAAGGCCTAAACAACATTACGGGATACAAAGTGAAGCACAGCGAGATTGTGGACAAATACACATCCCTCCCTGACACGCTGAATGCTTTCTATACTTGGTTCGAGCAGAATGCCAGCGGTGCAGTGCCACCTGTCCCAACAGCCCCAGATGCACCTGTTCCTACCATCACCACTGCAGACGTTGGATCGGTCTTCCTGGAAGTCAACCAAAGGAAAGCACCGGGCCCAGACGCTGTCCCCGGCTGAGCACTCAGATCCTGTGCGGACCAACTGGCGGAGATACTCACTGACATCTTCAACATCTCCCTCCGACAAGCCAAAGTCCCCACCTGCTTCAAGACAACATCAATCCCGTATCTAAGAAAGCATGTGCAACCTACCTTAATGACTACTGCCCAGTGGCTCTGACCTCAATGATCATGAAGTGCTTTGAGAGCCTGGTCATGGCCCACGTCAATTCCAGTCTCCCAGCCCACCTCGACCCCTTAAAACTTTCCTACCGACGTAGCACGTCCACAGAGGATACCATATCCCTAGGCCTGCATTTATCCCTGGAACATCTGGACAAAGACACCTACATCAGACTCCTGCTTGTTGACTAAAACTCCACCTTCAACACCATTATTCCCACCAGACTGATCTCAAAACTTCGTGATCTTGGTCTCAGCTCTGCTCTCTGCAACTGGATCCTCAGCTTTCTGACCCATAGGCCGCAATCAGTGAGGATAGGTAACTGCACTTCCTCCACAATAACACTCAGTATGAGAACCCCCTCCCACCGCCCCAGGGATGTGCCCTCAGCCCCCTACTGTACTCCCTGGGCACCCATGACTGTGTTGCCAAATTCTGAATGAACACCATCACAAATTCGCTGACAACATCATCATAGTACGATGGATATTTAACAACGAGGCAAAATACAGATGGGAGATAGAGGGCTCAGTGACGTGATGCAACGAGAACGTCATTTCTCTCAACATTGGCAAAACTAAAGAACTGATCACTGACTTCAGAAAGAAAGGAGAACATGCCCCCATCTACATCAACGGAACTGAGGTCAAGAGGCGGAGAGCGAACTAAAATCTGTCCAGGACCTCCCACGTAGATGTGACAGTTAAAAAGGCATAACAACGCCTCTTCTTCCTCAGGCAGCTCTGGAAATTTGCCATGTCCATAAGGACCCTCACCAACTTCTACAGATGCACCACAGAAAGCATACTGTCTGGGTGCATAACGGTATGGCAACTGCTCTGCCCAGGACTGTAAGAAACTACAGAAGGTGGTGTGCACAGCCCAGACCATCACAGAAGCCAACCTTCCATCCATGACTGCATTTCCACGGCTCATTGCAAAAGATACAGAAACTTGAACACGCACCAGTAGGCTCAGGCACAGCTTCTTCCTGGCAGTTATTAGGTTGATGAATCGACTCTGTACCTCAAATAATGTTGTTCTTGCTAACATTGATCTCGTCTAGCATTTGCCCTGTGCAATATAACCTGTATGCCTCTAAGTTTATTTTTTTACAACCTTTGATCTATACTTCCTTGCTTACTATGATCTACCTGTACTGCTCATAAATGAAGCTTTTCACTGTACTCCGGCACACGTGACAATAAATCAATCAATTTAATGCTGATCTCGCCATTTGTGCACTTTCTCTGCAGCCATAACATTGCCTCTAGTCTATTACCCTATGCACTTTGCATGGTATGATCTGCCTGCACTACACACACAACAAAATTTTTCATTGCACCTAGGTACATGTGACAATAATAAATCAAATTAACAACTATCGCAAACCGCTGGACAATGAGGATCAATTCTCAAACCTGGAGTCTACTTTCACCAAGGGTAGACATCAATGAAATTTAACATAACCTCCCAAATGTCAGTGTAGACTTTAGCCATAAGAGAGAGAATATTTGATGGCACAGACCTCAAAACCATCACCAAACTCATTATCCATAGTGCACCTGCTCTTCCATATGCATCAAAACCACACACAGTGGACAGGAGACATCTCAAATCCCTTGAGAAACATCAGCAGCAAATCCTCCTCAAAATCTTGCAAGTGCAATGGCAGGATGGGTGTCCTCTCTCAGGCCAACATCCCCATCACTGGCTCCTGTCCATCAGCTGTGCTGGGTGAGCCATATTATACCAAAGCCTGTCTCAAGAACTCCAAAACAAGCTCTCGACTCCAAACTTCAACATGGTAGGCGATTATGAGGAGGCCAGAGGAAATGTTTCAAGGATGCCCTCAAAGCCTCCCTGAAGAAATGCCACATCCCACCGACTCCTGGGAATGTCTCACCAAAAACCGCCTAAACTGGAGACAAATCTGCAAAGCTTCCAACCATCTCCAACACATCCAGACAGAGACCAAGAGAAAATAGCAGCAGGAGCGAGCAAAAACACAAGTATCCTGCCATTGTCCCTTTAAACAACACCTTCCAACGTGGTTTCAGGATCCTGTATCAAGACAATCAGTCACTTCAGGACTCACCACTCTGCAGGAGAAAGAAGCTACTTTTGGATGTCAAGGGGCCAATCAAGAAGGAACTGAGCTACCTGATGCAGACCTCTTAGACTTCAAAAAGTTAGCCGAGTCCGAGTAATAACAGTAACTTGGAACAGGGAGAAAGAACATTATTAGCCAGTGATACCACTCCTTAGCACATTGACCTATATAAGCATGAATGCATCTACTAAAGCAGCGGTGACATGATCAGGATTGACTACAATATAATGACTGCTAAAAAAGGTTGACAAATGAAGAATGGGCACTTATTGGAGCATGCCCAACATTCGAACAGATGCAGGACTTGTACGAGTTGGGAAGGATAAGACTGAAAGCAACATTACACCAGACAGCAAAAGGGTTGGCCCAGAACCTTCTACACAATGTGTACTTACAGTAAATAATCAGGCACATCTGATGTCGATGTTGGAACACTTGAGCTGTTGCACATCCCATTCAACCCTACAAGGAAACAAACTGATGTTTAAAATAAAGTAAACACAGGAAGCCAAAGCTTCTAAAACCACTTTCTGCCCATTAACCAACTTGGCCTCTTCAGCCCCAGGACCAACAGCTCGCCGTTCCACCCCCACCCCAGACCAGGCCCAGGTCTAGGTCCAACTGCACCTGACCCTACCCCACTGCCTCTCAAAGGGACCGGGATTGATGTATTCCAATGGAAATGCCAAACAGCTTTATTGCACTGGGAGATCACTGAGCTGAAGGACCGGTTGAGCACTATCATGGACGAAGGTGTTCTATTGTTGTCCTGGTTCATGTTGTTCAAACTGTGCCATCAATCCTTGTAGGACTTACACAGCTTGGAGTGAAAAGGAAGATTACAGCCACAGTGGCAGAATGCAGTTCACGTGACAATTAGACAGAGCCACACAGGCAGTTTTCTGTGTTGAGGTGCAAAAAGCTGGAAATGGCAATAAGCAGCCTGTCAGTGAATTGTGGCCCCTCCATACCACACAATTACACTCCTTTTACTGGCAGCATGACAGCGCTCTGCTCCCAATTATATACTGGGGGAGCACAGTGCCAACAGGAGTGTTGGGAAAATAACGGAAACAGGGCCCTCTGATGGTTTCACCACAAAACTGCTGAAAAATTGGTGTATTCAAACCAACAAGTCCCAGGATTGTAGCTACCCAGAAAATGTATACCTGAAATAAAGCAGCAATGCTGGTAATACGCAGCAAGTCGCTAGGGTTAGAAGGCAGAAATAACAGGAGGAAGTAGACAAGAGAAATCAGGGACTGTGTGTGGGATCCATGCCCCAGGGAGAGTCCTATGCCTCAGAGACTGGGCGTGAGGGACTCATGCCTGAGAGTCAGAGAGAGATGAAGTAAACAGATAAGCCGAAAGCACAGAGTAACATGTGGCTGTATAATAATATACCTGTTAGTGACAGATAATTGAAAGAAGGGAAAGAATGGCAGCTGAATATTCCCGGTTCTAAGGTTTTTAGGTATAAAGAGGCTAAAAGAAAATTGAGGGAGGGTGTGAAATATTGGATGAAATTAACATAATGAAAGCATTAAGGGATTTAAAATCTGAAAGAGGGCCAGATGAAATTCTTTCTAGACTCTGAACCGCTAACCATTTTCCCAATTGTCTCCAGGTGTGCGTTAGAGGAGTGCTGGACAACAGCTAACACTGTCCCATTATTTCAAAACAGAAGGAATGAACTGAACGATAAGTGGCCAGTCAGTTTAATCTCAGTAATGTGAAAAATATTGCAAAAACATTCTATGCAATGTGATAAATATTCTTTTAGAAAGAAACTGATTAAGCAAAAGATCTGACAAATGCTGGACGTTTTAAGAGGTAATAGTGGGACAGTAGATTAGAATAATGTATTTGATGTGACCCATATGTATTTTAACAAGGCTTTTGATAAAGTCCTCCATAATGAATTAGTCAGAAGAGTAAAGTCTACAGAATCCAAAGCAGAATAAGAAGTTGGAGCCAAAATTGGCCCAGAGGCAGGAAGCAGATGGGTCTGGTCAACAGGCACTTTTGTGACTGGAATAATGTGCGGTGGCATTTTGTAGGGCTCGGTACTTAATCCTTCACCGTTCCAGTGTATATCAATGTTTTGGCTTTGAATGTAGGGGGTGTAATCCAAAAATTTGCACAGGATACACAATGGTTGTGGCTGATAAGAAAGATATAGATTGCAAAAAGGTATCAAAGCACTGGGCTGGAAGGGGTGGGAAAGTGGTAAATGGAGTTTAAACTGAATAAGAGAGAAATAATGTATTTGAGGAAGGCTAACAAGTCAAGAGAATACATAATAAATGGTAGGACATGCAAAAGTGTATGGGATCAGAGGCACCTTGGAGTGCAGTAGCATGGATCTCAGATGGTGTACTGACAGTCAAATAAGGTAGTGACATACTGGATGCTTGACTATTAGCCAAACCTCAGAAGAAGAGCTTAGAGGTTAACTGTGGAAAACATTTAAGTGGATGTTTCAAAAGGCTCAGAATAAAGATATTCCTACTATAAAGGAAAAATCTAAGGGGAGGAGCTAACATCTGCCGTTAACTAGAGAAATTAAGGAAGGCATAAGACCTAAGGAAAATGAATACAAATTGTGCAAAAATTAGTGGTTGGTCAGATGATTGGATATAGAGAATAGCAGAGAAGTTAGTCAGACAATAGACTGGGATGGCGAGGGGGGCGCGATCATAATATTGATTCAGAAATCAATTATAGCAGCGAGGAGGGATGATATCTTTGAAGGATAATCAAATAGGGCCATAATGTTGGAAAAAAAACATAAAAGTGGCCAGCACCCTGTTAGGTGGATACTATAGGTCATCAAATGGTCAAGGAGTGGTTGGAATCAAATACGTATTCAAGCTACAAAGAAGTGGAAGAGTACAGAGCAGTAGTTTTTGGGAATTTCAACTACCCAAATATTAACTGGGCTATGAATATTCCAGTCAGCTCTTTGACCCTGCTCTGCCATTCAACAAAATTATTGGTAGTCTGCCTGCAATCTCTACATTTCGACATATTCTGACAACCTTTCATCCCTTTGGTAATCAAGAATTTACCTATCTCTGTCTGAACAATATTTAAAGATTCTGCTTCCACTGCCTTTTGAGGCAAGGAATTTTGAAGGCCCTCAGAGAAAATGGTTTTCTTACCTCTGTCTTAAATGGGCAGCCCCTTATTTTTAAACTATGACCCTAGATCTATATTCTCCCACAAGAGCATTTTGATATCCACCTACTCAAGTCCTCTCAGGATCTCACATGTTGCAATTATCACCTCCGACTCTTCCAAACTCCAGAGGATACAGCCTAGCCTGTCTAGCCTTTCCTCATAAGGCAATCTGCTCATTCCAGGGATTGCTTCCACTGCATTGACATCCTTCCTTAGGTACGGTGACCAGCACTGTACATCATACTTCAGGAATGGTCTCACCAATACCCTACATAACTGAGGCATAACATTCCTACTCCTTTGTTAAATTCCTCCAGGAATAAAGTTAGTTTTAGTGTGCAAGGCAGAAAAGGAACATTTTTTTTTTTTAAAAATTGCATCCAGGAGAATGTTTTTAGCCAGTTATGTAGAAAACCCAACAAGGGGGACAGTTTTGGACCTAATTATCAGAAATGACCTGAGCAGGTGGAAGGTACATCAGGTAGGGAGCATTTTGGGGATGGTGACTATAACTCAGATTTAGGATAGTTATGGAAAAGGATAAGGATGAGCTTGGGATAAAAGTTCTTAAATGGAGAAATGCTGATATTGGTCAGACAAAACAGTTTTGGCCAAGTGGACTGAGAGTAGTTACCTTCAGATAAAACTGTGTCAGAGTATTCAAAGAGGAAATAGCGTGAAAGTGGAGCAAAGACTAGAGAACCCTGGATGTCAAGGGAGATTAAAGGTTAGTATTAAGAAAATAAAAGCTATGGCAGATACAGAAGATTCAACATGTCAGAGTCCCTAGAATATAGAAAGCACAAAGGGACCACAAAAATGAAATTGGGAAAGCAGAGTGTATGAAAAAGCACTGGTAGGCAGAATAAAGGATGCCCCAAAGGGTTATGTTAAATATATAAAAAGCAATAGAATAACTAGGAAGAGCAGGACTCATTACGAAGCATAGAAGTAATCCAAGCGTAGACTCAGAAGACCTGGGTACAGTGCTCAATGAATACTTTACATCAGTACTCACAATAGAAAAGGATGACGCAGATATAGATGTCAGGTGGAGGACTATGAAATACTTGAAGAAATTAACATAAAGAGACGAGGTACTAGCAGGTTTAGCAGCCTGACGAGTCATTAAATCAACAGATCCTGGATGATGTGTATCCCAGGATATTGAGGGAGCCAATGGAGGAGATATCAGGGCCTTGGCCATAATTTTCAAACTCATAATAAAATAAATAAATGCAGATGAGTCACTGGACTCAAAATGTTGACTCTGCTCTCTCTCCCCACATGCTGCAATTTGTGTTTTAATTTTCAAAACCACTCTGGTTGCAAGTGAAGTGCTAGAGGACTGAAGGATTGCTCACATTGTCCAATTATTTAAAAAAAAGGAGGAAGGCAAAAACTAGGAAATTACAAGCTAGTCCAGCCAAATTTCAGTGATGGGGAAATTATTAGAAATAGTTCTGAGAATCAGAATTCATCTACAGTTGGAGAGGCATGGATTCGTTAATTGTGTTTCACAAACTTGATCGAATGTTTTGAGTAGGTAAGCATGGGTGTTGATGAGGGTAATGCATTTGATGTGGTCTACACGGACTTTAGTAAGGTTTTTGATAAAGCCCATCTTGGCAGACTGCTCCAGAAACTATCAGCGCATGGGATCCAGGCAGAGTGTCATATTGGATCCAAAATTAGCTGAAAAACAGGAAGGAAAGGCTGATTGTAGAGGAATGCTTCCAAAAGAGTTCCACAGGACTCAACTTGCTGGTTGTGGTTTACATTAATATGGACATAAACATTTGATCAATAAGCTCATTGACACGAAAATTGGGCAGGTGGTAAATAGTGAGGAGGATAGATATAAATCACAAGCAAATATCAACAGACTGGTCAGGAGGGCAGAACAATGACAAATGGAATTCAACCCAGAAAATGAGAATTAATGCATCTGGGGAGGGCTAACAAGGCAAGGGATTACACCGTGAATGGTAGGACCCTGAAAATTACTGAAAATCAGTGGGGCCTTGGTGTGCATATCCACAGATCCCTGAAGGTAGCAGGGGCGGTAGATAAGGTGGTTAAGGCAGTATATGGTATACTTGCCTTTATTAGACAAGGCTTGGAATATATTAGCAGGTGACTATGTTGGAACTGTGTAAAATGCTGGTTAGGCCATAACTGGAGTACTGTGTACGGTTCTGGCAACTACAATATAGGAAAGATGTGATTGCACTGGAGAGGGTACAGAGGAGATTTACAGGATGTAGCTGGGCTGAAGGTTCTTAGCAATGAGAAAAGTTTACTTCTTTGAAGCATCGAAGTATGAGACGGGACCTGATAGAAGTGTAAAAGATTATGAGGGGCACAGATAACGTGCACAGCAAGGTATTGTGTTCATTCAAAGAAGGACCAATAACAAGATTGATGGTAAGGGAAGAGTTAAGGAGTTGGAATTTGCTTTCTGAAAGAGTGGTCAAGTCCTAACATTTAAGCGGTATTCAGATATTCAGCATTGCCTTAGCCTCCAGAGCCATGGGTCAAAAGTGAAAAATGGGATGAGTGTAGTTAGATCTTCATTGACTGGCATGTCATGGCAGGCCAAGTGGCATCATATACACTTTAAATGCCTGTATGAGTGTAAGTGGAGTCACCCAACTAGGAATTTAAAAAACTGATAGCAAGAGTCTCTGCAGGTGTACAAGGTGAGCAAGTGTTGGTCCTCTTGAGAGTAAGTATTGGGGGTTAATACCAGATAATCAGGAAATGATTAATGAGATTAACACATATTTTGCTTCTGTCTTCACTATAGGGGACAGAAAAACCATTCTAATAATACCTAAAAAAATCAGTAGATGGAAGAGACAGGGAAACTTGGTGAAATTACAATCACTAGGGAAACAGTAGTGAGCAGACCAACGGAACTGTGGGCTGACAAGTTCTCAGGTCCTGGCAGACTTCATCCTAGGGTTTTAAAAAATGTTGTTAATGAAAAAAATAGATGTGTTGGTGATAATGCTGTTGGTCAAAATTTGTTAGATTCTGCAAAGGTACTATCAGAATGGAAAGTAACAAATATAACCACTCTATTCAAGGGACGCAGGCAGAAAGCAGGAAACTGTGGGACAGCCAGCTTGATGTCTTTGGTGCAAAGATGTTGGAATCAATCATGAAGGAGGTTACACCTGGGCATGTAGAAAAACTTCAGCATAATGCAAATGGCTATTAGATGTGTTGAGTGAGTGGGCAAAAATCTAGCTGATGGAATTTTTTTAAGATATAGAATCCCTACAGTGTGGAAACAGGCCCTTCAGCCCAACAAGTCCACACCGAACCTCAGTGTCCCACCCAGACCCATCCCCCTATAACCCACCTAATCTACACCTCCCTAAACACTACAGGCAATTTAGCATAGCCAATCCACCTAACCTGCACATCTTTGGACTGTGGGAGGAAACCAGAGGACCTGGAGGAAACCCACGCAGACACGGGGAGAATGTGCAAACTCCACACAGACAGTTGCCCGAAGCTGGAATCAAACCTGGGTCCGTGGCGCTGTGCTAACCACTGTGCCACCGTGCCACCCTTAATATAATGGAAAATATGTGAAATTGATCATTTTGGCCAGAAAGACAAAAAGGCAATGTTTTACTTAAAAGGAGACTGACTGCAAAACTCCAAGGTGCAGAGGGATTTAGGTGCTCTGGTGCACGAGTCACACAAAGCTGGTAGGCAAATAACTAAGGCAAAAGAAAACCTGCGGATGGTGATGATCTCAACTGAAAACCAAAACAGCTGGAAAAACTTGGCAGCATCCATCGAAAGAGGAACAAAATTGGTGTTTTGAGTCCAGTATGACACTTCCTCGGAAGTGAAAGGAAGGTGATGGCTTTTATGCCTTAGGAAAGGAGAGGGGTACACCAATCGGAACAGATGGGAAAGTACCCCGCAGCAAAAGGCAAAGGGAGCTGTAATGGCAATTGAGAAGAGATATAGAAGATGAATAGTATTAATTTCAGAAAATAGATCTTGAGATTTGATTCAGAACTAGGAGCACCGTTTAAAACTTAGGTGTCATGCTTTTAGGACAGAGATGAGGATAATTTTGATTCTGAGAGTTATGCTGATTTGTAACTCTGCCTCAGAAGGTGATGGAGATGGGGGTCAATGAATATTTTTAAAGTGGAAGTGAATTGATTCTTGAAAGGCAGGGGAATCAATAATTATTGGAGGTAGACAGTCATGTGAAATTCAAAGCACAAACAGATCAGCCATGATCTTTTGAACGATGGAGCAGGTTCAAGGGGCCAAATGGTCTATTCTTGTTCTTCATTCATATTGTTATACAGAAAATGTGTAAAATAGTTACAGCATTACGCGCAGTTCTGGTTGCCACATGAAGAAAAATGCGATTGTGTTAGGGACGGTACAGAGGATATTTATGAGGATGTTTCTGACACTGGAGAATTCCAATTATGAGAAAAGATCGGATAAGGAGGGCTCAGAGGTAGTAGGAACTGCAGATGCTGGAGAATCTGAGATAACAAGGTGTAGAGCTGGATGAACACAGCAGGTCAAGCAGCATCAGAGGAGCAGGAAAGCTGATGTTTTGGGCCTAGACCCTTCTTCAGAAAACCTTTCTGAAGAAGGCTCTAGGACCGAAACATCAGTCTTCCTGCTCCTCTGATGCTGCTTGGCCTGCTGTGTTCATCCAGCTGTACACCTTGTTAACTCGGATAAGAAGGACTGTTTACTTTGGGACAGAAGAGACCGAGGGGATAACACAGTGTGGAGCTGGAGGAACACAGCAGGCCAGGCAGCAGAGGAGTAGGAAAGTTGACGTTTCGGGTCGGGACCCCTCTCCCGCATCGGCAGTTCTTACTATCTCTCAGAGACTATGGGGGGATCTAATCCAACCTAATTAAAGATTAAAGGGTCTAATGGAGTGGATAGAAAGACCCTAATTTCATGGTTGAAGAATCCAAAATTAAACAGTACAGATCGAAGGGAAAAGGAAAAAAATGGGCTTGAAGAGAAATCTTTTCACCCAGAGGATATTGAGGATCTAGAACTTTGACCTGAAAAGATGCTAGAGGCAGAAAAGTTCAAATTTGAAAAAATACTTGGATATACACTTAAGGCCATAACCTGCAAAGCTTTGGAGTAAGAGACAGAAAGTATAATTAGGCTGGATGCTTCCTTATCTGACAGCAAAAGTACGATGGACCAAAAGGTCTCCCATCTGTGCAATAAAGTTCTATTGATTTTGTGAACACTCACCTGCAGCCTTCTGTGGAACAATTTTCTTCTGCTCCTTGCAATTCTGAAGAAACTCATAGTCTCTTACACGCTCTCCACACCCTTCCTCGCTGCTTTCCTTGTCCTTTACTCGCTCCTTGTCTTTGTGCTTTTTAGATTTTTTCTTCGACTTGATGTGGAGTGAAGGTGCACTGGGATGAGGATAATGTGGGGGTCGTGGGCAGACTGTTCGATCTGGGGTCTCCTGGCTTTCTGAATCCTGGCCGTTGTGACTTGAATCGTTGCTGACTTCTGATGAAAGATTGTGAGGTCTCTGATTCTCCACAAACGTTGGCAAGGTGGAGGTGGAGCTAATTGAATCGGCAGCAGCTGTCTGGACTGACAGAGCTCCCGTCTCTTTCCCATTGGAGGGATTTAACCTGCCATTTAAAGTCGGTGGAACCCGGCTCGTCAACAGAGATATTCTTGGTTTCTTATTGGCCAATGGATCAATGAAATCATTGGGTAGCGATCGTTTCTAGGACACAAGATGCTTCAAGTTACTTCAGAGTAAGCACAGAGCGAACGGATAGAACACATTTAACTTGGTATAGCGAGTAAATAAACCTCTAGAAAATTTGCCAAACTCTTCAATACAAAACAAAATTAGATACAAGAATCAGGTGGAATTTTATCACCAAGTAGTTTCTCATTTTTCATCATTAAATAAACTGGAATAAAGTTAGTATTAATGGTGTGGGTCTTGTAATTATATATCTGGACCATCACTTAACTTGCAACCTCTCTGGAGCAGGTGGGACTTGAACTTAGGCTTTCAGGTCCAGAGACAGGAACATTACCCCTGCACCAACACAGCCCTAAGAGGTTGCGAAGGGACATAAGCTAGTTAAGTATATGGGCAAGAAGTACATGCTGAACAATACGGGGAAATGTGAAATTATCCAGTTTGTTAGGAAGAATAGAAAAGCAGAACTTTTTAAAAAAAATTTCAGAGAGACTAAATGTTATTTAGAACTACTTTAGAACTAGAATCTTGTACACAAGTCACAGCAAGTTAACAAGCAAACACAACAAGTAATTAGGAAAATTAATAGTGTTTTAGCTGTGATGAAGTCATCTAGACTTGAAATGTTAGCATGTTCTCTCTCCATGGATGCTGCCTGACCTGCTGTGATCTCCAGCATGTGTTGTTTTCAGCACTTTAGACTATATTGAAAGGTGGCTAGAATACAAGAATAAGGAAGTTTTGCTGCTTTGATGAGACTACAGCAGGAGTTCAATACACAGTTTTGGCCCCTTCAGCTCTGGATGGCTATACCTTAGAGAATCTAAATCAACCTTTGTTGCAGATTACATCCTTCGATTTGAGATTATCCTCTGTGAATAGACTGAGTTTATCATTTTTAATATACCTATACTTAATGTGAGATAATCTTTATTGAATATAAAATTTGTAAAGGACATAACAGGGTAGCTCTTGAGAAACTGCTCCCCTAGCTGGAGAGTCTAGAATCAGTCTCACCATACAGGATTAGACAGATGAGAAATCTTTGGAATATTCTGTCACAGTTAGCTGTGGATGTTCAATTGTTGAAGCTGATAGCTTTGGAATTATGGGAATTGTTTGGGAAAGTTTAATTGACGCAGGCTGAAAGAAGATAAAGACTTTAATGAACAGTGGTACAGTCTTGAGGAGCCATGTAGTCCTCTGTTCTAATTGCTTCTTTTATGAATCTGTTGCAAGATGATGATTATGATCAGCAGGAATCATCCAGGTTAGCTTTCTGCCTTGAAGCATGTAACCCACAAACATGACAAGGGATTGTATTTGTAAGTTCACTGTTAAAATGCTCTTGTAAGTGGTTAAATTGATATATACTGGGTCTCTCAGACCTCAGTCTATTTGCCTTTTGGAATGAGAAGCCTCATCTGTGAGGTGATAATGATGCTTTACCTGACTCCAGTGCCTTGACAACAGAATAAAAAGTGGCCATTGCTAGTGTGGACAAGAGTAAGTTCAGAACCAGAATTGCCACATGCTAGAGCTTCTGAACTGACACTGCCTAAATGTACTCCTGCAGAATGGTTAATTGATTGAAGCGCCAGGCATTCAACCTTGAACAACTAACCACAATGTTCTCAAGGGCGATTAAACTTTGCATTTTTCCAGTGTAAAATCCACATTTTGCTGTTTGGGCTGTGGACTAAAATGGGAGATGAGACGGCTTTAAAGCAAGGAAACTGTAAGATGATGTTTGAAGCTTTCTAAACAAGTTACTGGAACATATTGTGAGTTGTATACACAATGCTACCTTACTAGAACAAGAAGAGGGAAAATTTCAAGCAAAACAGCACTGACTGTGTGTGTTCAGGGCAATTTTTGCCCAGAGTCAGTCTTTTGATTGGCACCAATTGTTCAGAGCTCAGCACAGTAAAAATCGCTTGAATGATTCCTCAGGAGGTGCATCTTATTGAAGTTGGCAGGTTTCTGGTTTGAGCTCCCCTCTTAAGACATAGGCACAATCTAAGGACTTATTTCAGTGGCACAGAACTGTGAACTGACTGGCTCACATTGAAACTTGCCAGATGAAAACAAGTTTAAATAAATCTAATTTACTGGATTACCCATTAATTTTTGTCTGTAATTACTTGAACCAGGTGGGGCTGCTAGAATAGTCATTCCAGTATGGTGTGTCACAAAGCTTGTCCTTAAAGGATGCCAAAATACAGTGGATATAAAAACAGAGATAGCCATTAGCACATACTGTGTCATACCTGTGGCGGAGAGGCTGAATTTGCACTGTCCTTTGGACTCGATGAAGGCGTCTCCCCAGAGCCTCCCGTGGCATTGTGGGGTTGACAGGATTTCCTGCAGAAACAGAACAATCTCTAACAGTGACAGAAAGCTAGGCGTGAAGCAAGACGAAGAGGCTTTGCTATAAGATTAGCATAAGATTCGTGGAGGGCAAGGCAGTACAGTCATCCACATCACGAGATTACCCTGGTGCACATTGCACGCGACCACGCCAAGGATCAAATCAGTGTCGGCAACACTTGCTGACAGGGACCTTGGCCCGATGCCTGACCATGCTCACTGGATTCCACATGACAGTTTAACGTCTCTCAGCACATTCGCAATAAATTGAAAAAATCCAGCTTACTATTCAAAGCATCATGACGACATCCCTGGAGCCACAGTACTTAGAACATAGAACAGTACAGCACAGTACAGGCCCTTCGGCCCACGATGTGCCGACCTATTATCCTACTCTGAGATCAAACTACCCTGCATACCCTGCATTTTACTATCATCCATTTGCCTATCCAGGGGTCGCTTCAATGTCCCTAATGTATCTGACTCCACTACCACTGCCGGCAACATATTCCATGCACCCACCACTCTCTGTGTAAAGAGCCTACCTCTCACGTCTCCCCTATACCTTCCTCCAATCACCTTAAAAATTATGCCCCCTCATAATAGTCATTTCTGCCCTGGGAAAAAGTCTATGGCTATCCACTCTATCTATGCCTCTCATCATCTTCTACACCTCTATCACATTTTCTTTATTTTAAAATTTTGCACAGATGTTTTTTCTTAGAATCCCTACAGTGTGGAAACAGGCCCTTTGGCACAAAAAGTCCACATTGACTCTGAGCATCCCACCCAAACCCATCCCCCTAACCTACACATCCCTGAACACTATGGGCAATTTAGCATGGCCAATCCACCTAGCCTACACATCTTTGGATCGTAGGAGGAAACCCACACAGACACAGGGAGAATGTGCAAACTCCATAATATCAAAAAATTTGTCTGTTCTCCACCCTTGTTTTCAAATTCCTCCATGGCCTTGCTTTTGTCCCTTCCCTGCAACCTCAGAGATATCTGCTATCCCTGAAATTTGGCATTTTGTACTTTCCCAGTTTGTTCTATCATCACTGGCAACTCCTGTCCTATAGGGAGGTAATCCTCTCCCTAAAACACTGCCTCGACTTCATACTTTAAAAGACTCCTTAAACCCTCTCATTGATCAATTATATCTCCCAAAGTAACTATCAAATTCTGCTAATTACTGATCCTGTGAAGTGCCATGCTGTCACATTGAAGGGTCTTTTTCAAATAAATTTGGTTTCAAAATTTGAATACTGCCCAAAAGGAAAATTGTGATCCCTTCAACTTTTTTTTTAGGGTGGATGGGTGGAGGGATATGCGTGTGTGTGGGGTGAGGTGAGGCAGCAGCTGAGGTCCTCAGGTTACAGGGCTGTAATGGTGAAGCAGGTTGAACGTGAAAACAGGCACATATTTATACAGTTCTGGATTGTGCGTGCTTTCTGACCTACTATAGGGTTAGGGGTTACCGTGTTACACTCCGATCAAGACACTGGACAAGATGTAGAGCCTAATAGAGCAAAATCTCAGGCAACTAAGCATGGGATATTAGTAGAATGAAAAATAAGTTGACTAGCATTGATGACGACTGTTTGGAAACTGTTTTTACAGCACAGCTACCTCCTGCCTTTATTCTAACATCACAACACTCATGGTCTTTGGCTCACACATCAACCTAGCTTTGAAAAAGCCTTTTAAAAAAAAAAGACAAAATGCTTAAAAAAATCAGCAGGTCTGGTAGCACTGGCAGTGAGAGAAAAACAAACTGAACGTTGAGTCCAATGAGACACTTTTTCAGAACTGAAGTTCTGCCAAGTTTTCCTAGTACTTGTGCTTCTATTTCAGATTTCCATTATCCACAATATTTTGCTTTTATTGAAAAAACCTACACCTGGCTATTTGGTAAACAAGTTCATAGTTGAACATGAAAATTAATTATCCTTGAATTTAGGGGTGTCTTCTGTGTTGTAAAGAATCAAATCAATTTATAGTGATTTATTCTCAAGGGATTGGTATTTCAGTAAATAACAGCTATTTTAGAGTCAACCCTCAAAAGTAAATGTTTGTGGCCTCCTCCCCCCATACAAACATACAATATCAATCCATATGCACGGACATACTTGAATCCTGCAACTGCTGTAAACATTACGAACATTTGTATTGTATGAATTTTAAGGAAATAAACACAATGAATTTTGGAGTTCATGTTGTTTGAGGGGCTGTTTTGATCAGGAGCACAAGTTTAATTTTACTGTCCTGTTTGAGGATGGCACCACTACAATTGCAGCATGACCTTGGGACTGCATCAGCAGACAGCTCTACGTGATTTTGCTCGATACCCCTCGATCCCCTTAATCCAAGGAAAGTTCATCAATCTCAGCTACAGAAATTTTAGTTAATCCCCAGCATTGATAGCTTTTTTGGGAGAGAATGAAGAGCGGTAAAAGAGGTCACATCCTAAACTTAAATCATTTGAATGTATTACATTGAAACAGACTTGCCTAACAGAGTAATGTTGATGCTTATGCTCCACATCCTTTCTCATTTATCTCTAGCAATGCAACTTACTTATTTTCTTCTGCCTCATGTTTATCTCGCTTCCCCTTAAATGCATGTTATTCAACTCAACCATTCCAAATGATAGAGTACCATCATAACCATTCTGAGGTTAAGAATACATTTTCTGGATGCCTTATGCTCTTAGTTATAGTCTCCCCTTGCAAGTTAAAACATCAGCTACTGAACACCATCATCTGGAGTGTGTATTGGGTCATCCCTTTGTCTTCCAACAGTATTTGAAAAATGACATTCAAAAAAATTCCTCTTCTAATTTGTAACTTGTGTCACTCTCTGGATATGTCATCACCTGTCTTGCATCAAACAATCCCTTCCATTCCTTTTGAAAAAGGAACATGGAATGTAGAACATAGAACCAATATTGGACACATGTTGAGAAAATGCAATAAGCTGCAGCTTCCTTCAAGACCTCCCTTAGCACAACTGCAATGTTCCATGTTCCGTGGTGTGCACCAGAAATGCCACAGCAGTTGGAAATATTTCAGGTAGCATTTTCTTTTCTGATGCCTGAGTGGCTGCAGAGAACCTCAAGCTGTTTACTCAGTTAAACCCATTCCTTCCTGTGCATATTTATAGACTTAGCTGCTGCAGAACCAGCAATACAGCTCATGAGAAAATAATAGTTTAGATGGAGGAAACCCTGTTGAGAAAGCAGATTGCAGCAAGCAATTGACTCTTCAGGCACAACCAAAAGATTACAGCTGATAAAGAGCACTACAACAATGCTGCACTCTGATTTTAACAGAGATCAGAACATCAAAATATACAAACTAATAAAATGCTGAATATTTAAAAGGGGCTTCCTTAGAATAACAGGCTTCACAAAGGAAAAGAGCAAACACCATTCTATATGGAGCGTCGGAGGCAGAGGGGTGACCTTATAGATAATATAATACCATGAGTGGCATAGATAGGGCGAATAGCCAGTCTTTTTCACAGGGTACAGGGAGTCCAAAACTAGAGGGAATAGGTTTAAGGTGGGAGGGGAAAGATCTAAAAAGGATCCGAGGGGTAATTTTTTTCATGCAGAGGGTCGTGCATGTCTGGAATGAGCTGCCAGAGAAAATGGAGGAGACGGGTACAATTACAACATTTAAAAGGCATCTGGATGGGCATATGAATATGAAGGGTTTAGAGGGATACGGGGCAACAGCTGGCAAATGGGAGTAGCTTAACATTGAGCTGTCCAGTTGGCGCAGACGAGTTAAACCGAAGGGTCTGTTTCCATGCTGTAGGACTATTTGCATAAAAGCACAAGAATACCCACTAAATTTGCACAGAGTCACTCTTTACTCCGCACCTAAGGATGGCACTGTGTACCTGTGCAGAGCATTGGGAATTTATTCTTTGTTTTATCAGTTTGTGGTGCAGTAGCTAGTACATGTTTCAATGAACACTGGAACATTCAGAGGACAAGAGACTGTTACAGTCAAATCCCACTGCTGGTAGCTACACCTTGCTGTTTCAAAATATCAGTTACATTACATTTGCCTAGAAACAAGGGCAGGACCATGTAGCAAGACTCTCAATACAAAACTCAAAATTGTTCTGGGGGCAGTGAGAACAATTCTGGTGTCACAGCCAATAGGAGAAGTCAGATAAAGACAGCAGCAAGCTCCATGCAGAAAATAACTGTTTTACCGGATTATTGAAAAGGCAACTGAATTATATCCAAGTCTGTGTTACTGGGGACTCCTGAGAAGTCAAGAGCAGTTGGATTGTTCTGCAGTGTTACAACTCAGAAGGATATTCTATGAACTGTTAGACAATTAAGGCAAGGCTCTGGAAGTCATAGAATCAGAATCCCTACAGTGTGGAAGCAGGCCATTCGACCCATCGAGTCCACATCAACCTGCCAAACAGCATCCCAACCAGACCCACCCCCTACCCTAGACACTATGGGCAATTTAGCATAGCCGATCCACCTAACCTGCACAACTTTGAACTGTGGGAGGAAACTAGAGCACCCAGAGGAAACCCATGCAGGCACGAGAAGAATTTGCAAACTCCACACAGACAGCCACCCGAGGTTGGAATTGAACCTAGGTCCCTGGCACTGTGAGGCAGCAGTGCTAACCACTGAGCCACGGTGCCACCCTGGGTTCTGGGAGTTCAGTGCCGTTGTGGGCAAGGGTGAAAGAAACCCATAAATGGTATTTGTGCTGTGCTAGGTTAGAATTTGGGAAACAAAGCCAAGGGCAATACTGGCTTGGTAAAGCTCACTGTTTGTGAAAAGCTGAAGCACAGTTTCTAAGAGTCTGGGGAACGCAGTGCCTGAAGAACAAGGTGAAATACTACAAATACTACAGAGTTCATGATGGATAGTTTCTTTTGGGCCAGGTCATCAAAAGTGAAGCATTGTCAGCCCCTTTTTCTGAGGAGAGAATAATTTGGAGATATCTGTGGGATTGGTCCTGATCAAATTTGCTGTTTGATGAGTTTATAAGGTCATAGAACATAGAACAGTACAGGCCCTTCAGCCCACAATGTTGTGCCAACCTATTATCCTATTCTGAGATCAAACTAACCTGCATACTCTACATTTTACTAATATCCATGTGCCTATCCATGAGTTGCTTAAATGTCCCTAATGTATCTGACTCTCCTACCACCGCTGACAGTGCATTCTACACACCTACCACTCTGTATAAAGAATCTACCTCTGACACCTCCCCTATACCTTCCTCCAATCACCTTAAAATTAGGCCCCCTGGTGATAGCCATTTCCACCCTGGGAAAAAGTCTCTGACTATCTATGCTTCTCATCATCCTGTACACCTCTATCAAGTCACCTCTCATCCTTCTTCGCTCCAATGAGAAAAGCCCTAGCTCCCTCAACCTTTCCTCATAAGACCTGCATCCTGGTAAATCTCCTCTGCACCCTCTCCAAAGCTTCCACATCCTTCCTATAATGAGGTTGCCAGAACTGAACACAATATTCCAAGTGTGGTCTAACCAGAGTTTTATAGAGTTGCAGCATAACCTCATGGCTCTTAAACTCAATCGCCCTGCCAATGAAAGCCAACACACCATACCACTTCTTAACAACCCTATCAATTTGAGTGGCAACTTTGTGGGATCTATGGACGTGGACCCCAAGATTCCTCTGTTCCTTCACACTGCCAAGAATCCTGCCATTAACCCTGTATTCTGCATTCAAATTTGACCTTCCAAAATGAATCACTTCACACTTTTCTGGGTTGAATTCCAGCTGCCACTACTTTGCCCAGCTCTGCATCCTGTCAATGTCCCAGTGCAACCTACAACAGCCCTCCACACTATCTACAACTCTGCCAACCTTTGTGTCATCGGTCAACTTACTAACCCACCCTTCCACTTCATCATCCAAGTCATTTATAAAGGTCACAAAGAGCAGAGGTCCCAGAACAGATCCCCGCAGAACACCAATGGTCACCAAGCTCCAGGCTGAGTACTTTCCATCTACTACCACCCTCTGTCTTCTATTGGACAGCCAATTCTGTATCCAGAGAGCCAAATTTCCCTGAATCCCATGCGTCCTTACTTTCTGAATGAACCTACCATGGGGAACCTTATCAAATGCCTTGCTAAAATCCATATACACCATATCCACTGCTCTACCTTCATCAATGTTTTTTGTCACAGCCTCAAAGAATTCAATAAGGCTTGTGAGGCATGACCTGCCCCTCTCAAAGCCATGCTGACTATTTCTAATCAAACTATGCTCTTCCAAATTATCATAAATACTATCTCTCAGAATACTGTCCAATAACTTGCCCACCACAGAAGAAAGACTGACTGGTCTGTAATTCCCAGGATTATCCCTATCCCATTTCTTGAACAAGGGAATAACATTTGCCATCCTCCAATCATCTGATACTACTCCAGTGGACACTGAGGACGCAAAGATCATTGCCAAAGGCGCAGCAATCTCTTCCCACGTTTCCCGTAGTAAGCTTGGGTATATCCTGTCTGGCCCAGGGGACTTATCTATCGTCATATTTTTCAAAATTTCAAGCACATCCTCCTTCCTAACATCAACCTGTTCCACGCTGTCCTTACAAACAACAAGGGCCCTCTCACTAGTGAATACTGAAGCAAAGTATTTATTGACGACCTCCCCTACCTCCTCCAACTGCAGGCACAAGTTCCCTCCACTATCCCTGATTGGCCCTACTCTCACTCTGGCCATCCTCTTGTTCCTCACCTAAGTACAGAATGCCTTGGGATTTCCTTAATCCTACCCACCAAGGCTTTTTCATGCCCCCTTCTAGCTCTCAAGTCCATTCTTCAGTTCCTTCCTGGCTATCTTGTAACCCTCTATAGCCTGGTTTGATCCTTGCTTCCTCAACCTTAAGTAAGCATCCCTCTTCCTCTTGACTGGGTGTTCCACATGTCTCATCATCCAAGATTCCTTCACCTTACCATCCTTTTCTTGCCTCAGTGCACTGGCAGTAAGTGCTCCCTAACCAACCTCCATATTTCTGTTGTGCATTTCCCCGAGGACATCTGTTCCCAATTTATGCTCCACAGTTCCTGCCAAATAGCATTGTAATTCCCCCTCCCCCAATTAAATACTATACTCATGGAGAGGGATAGCAGCAGATGGTATGGGAAAGTAAAGGACAGGGAGTTGTGATCACTAATTTGACCACTGATATTTGACCATTGTTTGTCTGTTGGCCAGATTTGCTTCAGTTAAATTTAAAATGCTCGAACATCACTGCTAAGTATAGACCTTTCCTTTATCAGCAATCTTTGCGTGTTATTCTTTGTTGACTAAAGAAACTGGCTTTCAGATACTAAAACATAGACTAAAGTATATATAGCTGACTATATTATTACACTGGATAAACGGAAGATTTGTTGTGACTAGTGGAGGAATGGGAATTGAAAGAAATTGGTGCATCCCTTCAAGCTCAGCAGGGCAAGGACCACCATCTGTGTAATTGCAGAATCGCTTTATTCAGCAGGCTACGTTACTCTCCAGTAATTGTATAGAACCAATGTTTATTCAACAGGGTAACCAGTAGATGCAGTCTATTTGGATTTTCCGAAGGCATTCAATAAGGTGTCACTTCATAGGCTGCCGTACAAGATAGGAGCTCATGGTGTTAGGGATAATGTGTTAGCATGGATTGAAGATCGGTTAACACGTAGAAGACAGTTTGGGATTCATGGGCCTTTTTCAGATTAGAAAGATGTAGCTAGTGGAGCGCCATAAGGATTAGTCCCAGAGACTCAATTATTTACTGTCTATATTAATGTCTTGAGGAGGGAGCACAGTGTAAAATGTATCCAAATTTAATGATCCAAAAATAGATGGGAGGATTGATTGTGTTGAGGACATCACACGTGGAGATTGCGTGCAGTTTTGGTGCCCTTACCCAAATGTTCACTAAACTAATTCCTGGTATGGAGGAATTGTCCTGAAAAATTGAATAGACGGAGCTGATATTCTCAGGAGTATAGAAGGATGACAGCGATCTTAGTTAACAGTGTATTTGCTGGAAGATGTTTCCCTTGGCCAGGGGTTCTAGAACATTGTTACAGAACATGGGGCAAGTCATTTAGCACTAAGAGGAGAATGAATTTCTTCACTCAGAGCACGATGAATCTTAAGAATTCTCTGCACATGACAGATGTGGAGACTTAGTCGTTGAGTACGTTCCAGAAAGAAATCAATAAATTTCTACAGATCAACATCAAGGGCTACAGAAATAATGCAGGAAAACTATGTTGAAGTGGAAGATCAGCCATGATCCCAGCGAGAGGCTGTGAGGCCTCAAAGAGCTGAATGGCTCCTATTTCTTATGTTCTTAAATCCATCAGCTGAGTGGTCAAGGCATCTAAATTGATTTAAACCATCTCAACAGGAAAAAAGCTAAAAAATACAATTCCTACCTAGTCATAAAACGAATAGGACTAAAATGCTAGCAGTCCTCGGCACAGGACAGTAAAATTAGATGGACCCACATAGGTACAAACAGAGCTCCATTTGTTCAATCACATTTTGGTCTGGATCATTCTAGCTGAGCAGAACTCACTAGCATCATGATGGGAATTAGAATTTTTCAGTTGTATTTTGTAAGAATATAAACAGGAGTGGGATCAAGATATTTCCTCTTTTCTTTGATGTCACCTCTATAATTTAACATCTCACATTGTAAATGGTGCAATGCAAGAGATTCAGCATTTACGTCACACACAGAGAAATATAGACATATTCTCAATGAAAGTAGAGAGAAGAAACATAAACAGGTGTAAAATGACATTATAAAAATCGTTAAGTATTTCTCCATGATATAACATGTTGTTGCATGGGGAGTTGATTATGGTCTCAATCGTTGAGGTTGTTTCTGTCATGTAAATGTTACGTTATTTAGCAGCCCTAACTTGATAGGCTACACTACTATAATTTTCTCTCTCCCTTTACACATTTTCTAAATACCCATATTTTTGGTAACCTTCTGGTCACCCACAACTTTTACCAGGGATTCATGTCCATCTCTTTATGCATGTTTTCTTTATTATTTCCCACTATGTTGTTAATGTAACTTACCGAACAAGAACTCTCTTCAGTAACTGCTGATCACCATCTGAGTACCCAGGCCAATCTCTCTGGATCTCCTTGTAGGCAAAGTCTTTCAGGGTAAAGGTGCCATCCCTAACATTCAGATTAGCCACCTGCAACATAACCAGGATTACAACTCAACACAGCTTTCAATTTCAGACTCCAAATTAGATCGTAAATTATTAGTGCAATGTGGGAAATCAAACCCTGGGAGACAAAAGTTGAAAGCCTGGAAATTAAGAATAAGCAGGGTAGTCAATAGAGTATTTTCACCCAAAGAAAGGCAAAGAATAAGTCATCAATATGTAGCATCACGATGGTATGAATAGGCTTGTGTACGCAGGCACTTGATAGCACAAAGCTTGAAGAAAGACATTTTGTCAAGGCTATTCATCTTGCACTCATCAGGACAATTTACAAGAAATACCAATTTAAGAGGGGTAAAAATAATCATATTGCATGAGAGAAGAATAAATAGATTAGCAAGTGGACTCTGATTGGTAGAGATGTTGCAATGAAAAATACATCAAGTAATGAATGTAGTTGACTACTAGCTTTTGTTGCTCCGATCTAATTTAAAAATTACATTTAAAATTTTATTTTTTAAATGCTAAAACAGCCAGACAGTTAACTGCAACATTAACTGGTGCATCCACCGGGGCAATGTTGCCTTTAAAGAAGGTAGTTCAGAAACAGTTAAGATTTAATCCCTTGAAGGAGAAAGCTGGGGTAAACAAGTCTGGACAGCAAGCTGCTTCACACAAGTGGCTAGAGTCTGGAATGCATTCCCAAGTGTGTGGTGGAGGCAGGTTCAATCAAAGCTTTAAAAAAAAATTCAACTTTTATTTGAGCTGGAGGCACATGCAACATTTTGGTGAGAAGGCAGGGGAACTCCACACGGTGAACCGCTCATTCAGAGAGTTGGTGCAGACTTGGTGAGCTAATAACATTGTGGCAATTCTGCAAACTACAATGAAATGTTTCAAAATGCAGCTACTGTCATGTTCAGTTTTCATGAAACATACCTTGAATAGCAATGAGAACAAGAGACACTGGACGAGGGGGGAATGCTGCACAGGACAAGGAAAGACCACTTGGCTCCGCTCCAAATAGTGTAATCCAACAAACAGCAATTCCTTCAATACTGGATCTAACCAATACCAGATTTAAATCAATACTGAATTAAATGTCAGTCACAAGGAAATTGCCTGTATCTGACCTGGGAACTTTTGATGGGAACAGTGTACAGGGAGCTTTACTCTGCATCTAATATTGTTTTCTACCTGCCCAGGGAGTAGTTTTAATGGGCAGTAGTTTAGGCAGAGCTTCCCTGTAATCCTGAAAAGTTTCTCCCTTCAGATTAACCAATTCTTGTCTGAAAATGGCAATGGAATCCACCCTATCACACTTTCAGCCAGCACGTCCAAAATCCTAACCACTTCCTGCATAAAAAAAACTATTCTTCACATTACAAAAACAAAGTTGCTGGAAAAGCTCAGCAGGTCTGGCAGCATCTGTGGAGGAGAAAACAGAGTTGACGTTTCGGGTCCGGTGACCCTTCCTCAGAACTGATGGTGGCTGGGAAAATGCACTTTATATGCAGAAAATAGGGAGGTGGGTGGGGTAGGGAGTAAACAATAGGATAGAGCCCAAAGAGAGAGAAAGACAGTTGGACAGACAAAGGAGTTGCTAACGATCAGGCTGGAAGGGTGAATAGTTGTTAATGGAGACTGTTAGTGACTAACAACAGGGGGTGTGTAATGGCAGGCTATGTGGTAACAAGGCCTGGTGTGTGGGGTGGGGGGCTGGGACATGGGAGAGTTTAGGCCCTAAAATTATTGACCTCAATATGGAGTCCGGACGGCCCTCACCCCTTCTCTTCCTTCCCGCAACAGCGATAGGGTTCTCCTTATCCTCACCTACCATCCCACCAGCATCCACATCCAGAAGATCATCAGACGCCATTTTCGCCACCTCCAGCAAGATGCCACCACCAGACACATATTCCCCTCCCCTCCCTTGTCCGCCTTCCGCAGGGACTGTTCCCTCCGGGACACCCTTGTCCACACTTCCTTCACCCCCAACACCTTCCACAGCGCTACGGCACCTTCCCCTGTAACCAGCGAAGGTGCAACACCTGCGCATTTACCGCCTCCCTCCCCAGTATCCACGGGTCCAAACATACGTTCCAGGTGAAGCAACATCACCTGCACTTCCAAGAATCTAGTCTACTGCATGCGCTGCTCACAATGTGGTCTCCTTTACATTGGGGAAACAAAATGTAGACATCTACCTTCTGCTCGCAGAAAAAACCCTGAACTACCTGTTGCCTGCCACTTCAATGCACCACCTTACTCCCTGGCCAACATCTGTCTCCGGCTTGCTACAATGTTCCAGTGAAGCCCAGCGCAAGCTGGAGGAACACCACCTCATTTTCCACTTGGGGACCATACAGCCCTCTGGACTCAATATTGAGTTCAATAATTTTAGGGCCTAAACTCTCCCATGTCCCAGCCCCCCACCCCATACACCAGGCCTTGTTATCACATAGCCTGCCACTACACACCCCCTGTTGTTAGTCACTAACATGCCCCATTAACAACTATTCACCCTTCCAGCCTGATAGTTAGCAACTCCTTTGTCTGTCCAACTGTCTTTCTCTCTCTTTGGGCTCTATCCTATCGTTTACTCCCTACCCCACCCACCTCCCTATTTTCTGCATGTAAACTGATGTTTTCCCAGCCACCATCAGTTGAGGAAGGGTCACCGGACCTGAAACGTTAACTGTTTTCTCCTCCACAGATGCTGCCAGACCTGCTGAGCTTTTCCAGCAACTTTGTTTTTGTTCCGGATTTACAGCATCCGCAGTTCTTTTGGTTTTTATTCTTCACATTACTTACTTTTTTGTCATTCACCTTAAATTGGTGTCCTCTGATTACTGACTCCTCTTGCCAATGGATGTAATTTCTACCCACGAATATTAAATCTCCTTCCAACAACATTGAGGGAAACAGTTCCACCTTCTCCAATCTATCCACGTAACTAAATTCTCTTATCCTTGGACCCATTCCTGTGAATCTTTTCTAAACCTCTGATGCCTTAACAGGATAGTGCCTTCCAAATTGCTCAGCACAACTTGCTTGCTTTTGTACTCTCTCTCACTGTTTATAAAGTCAAGCAGCATGAAGAATGCCTTGTTAGCTGCATTCAATGCTTTGTGCCCCTACATGCTCAGTCTCTCTGCTCCTGAACCTCCTTTAGAATTGCATCCTTAATTTTATATAGCCTCTCTTGTTCCTCCTCCAAAACTCAATCTTTTCACACAGTTCTACGTTGCATCTACCCTGTGTTCAGCCTGTCCATAGTCTCTTGAAGTCTATCACTAACTACCTTACAATTCAGAATGTCAAAATTTCTGTTACCTGTAAATATTGAAGCCATGCCCAATTGATCGAAGCCCAAGTCCATTAATATAGACGTAGAAATGTGGTGGACCTAATACTGTCTTGAGAAAAGCAAATAAAGAGATGCTGATCCAACAGCAGAATGGTCATTGATCAGCAGACACAGATTTATTGGAATTGGCAGAAGAACTAAACGCAAGGAAAGGAGCTTTCTCTTCTCAAACAAGTTATCATGGTGGAAGCAGATTTAATACATCATTCAAAAGCAACACAGTTAAATACTTAAATGTAAAACAATTACATGGGAGAAAGAACAACGGAGTGGGTTAAGTGGATATCTCTTTCAAAATGCTGGACATGCCCATGGCTTCTTTCTGTTTTATCATTCGATATTCTTGGTCGCAAATTTCAGAGTTTGAATGCAGAGTAAAACTCCTTCTATTCTGCCTCAAACCCACATTTTCAGAGACAGTTCAGCACTGATATTCTAACCAGTTGTTTGAAGCTGTTGTGGCTTGTTAGAACCAGCAGACAAGAGGAGACTGTTAACCAGTCATTTGGGCTGTACTTGAACTGCATGCATTAAGTCACTTGACACTCTACTACTCCACTTAGTTGATTCTCTGAGGTCTTTTGGACATTGAGGGAGCTTGCTACCTGTTGTAGGAGATTTTCCAAAGAGTCCTTATCCTGCTGGGTGATTCCATCCTTCTGCAATCGAAGAATTAACTCTGGTTTCTTGTAAGGCTTCAGAGCCAACAAATGGATAACCCGGTCTCGATACGGCCGATTAGAAACGTTGCTGACGTTTTTCTTCATTGCATTTGCCAGGTTCACTGGTGTTGGTCGCCTCCTTTGGGGAACAGCATCAGGGATACCAGGCGCTGGCTTGCAGAGCACCCTTTTAGCTGAAAGTAGAAAGAAAAATGAAATGAAAGGAATCAGGCAGGCAGCACACAAGAACCCGATCAAACTTCAGTGTGGCAGAAGCACAAACTCTTGTTAGCAGACCACCTGTATATGTCCAAACTAACCTTTACCCATTAAACAGTCAGGCTCAACTGGACAAAAACCAAGACAAATGTTACACAGAGGGCCAGCACCAACAGTACACCACAATTTACTGAGATTGATTGTTAAATTATGGTCATACCACCGTATCCTTACTGCCGCTAGGACAAAGGCGAAGTGTGGAAGATCACTGGATCAAGAACTCTCCTGGTGCAGAATCACATCGACAAATAATGGGAGCAATATGAGACAAGTGCTAAGTGTAATATGTTAGCAAGTGCAGAAAACACTGGTCTTCAGATTCCCAAGACTCTTCCATCACTTAGGGTTTTCCTCACTTCATGTCTAGATCTGTTCAGAATGACTGGTAGAGTCTCTATTATTGTAGTTTCACGTTACCGCATGATGGAAGCATAAATTTTATTCATGTGACAGTTTCTGGGTTCCGGTAAATTTAACAGCCCACCAATGTTACATTATTGGCCGAGCAAGGGAGGAAAGAACTTAATTGCAAGTAAAAATGTTGGAGCCATATTAAGAAGATACAAGTACAGCATACGGGAGATTTGACCCAGGAAGAGAGTTAAGAATTAGCCTACGTAGAAAATGGTATGCAACTCTTTCAATCTGCCCTTGTCTTTGTGATTCTATAAAACAGAACCAGAATTATTCCATATACTCATCTGCCTCGTTTGCCTCCATGAGCTACATGGAGAGGCTAGAAAAAACCCAGATAGTTTTCTCTGGAATGCTGGAGGCTGAAGGGAGACTTGATAGAAGTCTATAAATTATGAGATGCAAAGAAAGGGATGATGGTCAGAATCCTTTTCCCCAGAGTTGAAATGTTTAAAATTAGGGGGCATGTATTTAAGGTGAGGGGGTAAAGTTCAAAGGAGACATGAAGGACAAGCTTTTTACCCAGAGTGTGGTAGGAGTCTGGAACGCGCTACCAGGGTGGTGGTGAAGGCAGATATGATAGTGGAGTTTAAGAGAGTTTTAGATAAGCACATGAATATGCAAGGAATGGAGGGATATGGACCAAAGGCAGGCAGAAGAGATTAGTTTAATTTGGCATCATGTTTGGCACAACACTGTGGGCCAAAGGGCCTGTTCCTGTATTGAATTGTTCTATGTTCTATGTTGATAAAGGGAAGCACAACAGTAACTTTGTTTAAAACACAGAATGATCCCCTGGCACCATCAAACCCTTCTCATCAGATTCCACAGACCAACAAAGAAAGCAATTAAAATTAGATGCTGGTTAAATAATAAGATGCAGATAAAGATCATCAGACTGGAGGTCTGTGACCAGCAGTGTGCCACAAGGATCGGTGCTGGGTCCACTGCTTTTTGTCATTTATAAAAACGATTTGGATGTGAACATAGGAAGTATGGTTAGTAAGTGTGCAGATGACACCAGATTGGAGGTGAATTGGACAGCCAAGAAGGTTACCTCAGAGTACAGTGGGACGGTGATTAAATGGGCCAATGGGCCAAGGAGTGCCAGATGGAGTTTAATTTGGATAAATGCGAGGTGCTGCATTTTGGAAAGGCAAATCAGGGCAGGGCTTGTACACTTAATGGTAAGGTCTTGAGAGTGTTGCAGAACAAGGACACTTTGGAGTGCAGGTTCATAGTTCCTTGAAAGTAGAGTCGCAGGTAGACAGGATAGTGAAGGCATTTGGTATGCTTGCCTTTATTGGTCAGTGCATTGAATATGGGAGTTGGGAAGTCATGTTGCGGCTGTACAAAGCATTGTTTAGGCCACTTCTGGAATGGAGTGCGCAATTCTGGTCACCCTGCTATAGGAAGGATGTTGTGAAACCTGAAGGGATTCAGAAAAAATTTACAAGGATGTTGCCAGGGTTGGAGGGTTTCAACTATAGTGAGAGGCTGAATAGGCTGGGGTTATTTTACCTGGAGTGTTGGAGACTGAAGAGTGACTTTATAGAAGTTTATAAAATAATGAGGGGCATGGAAAGGGTGAATGGCCAAGGTCTTTTTCCCAGGGTAGCAGAGTCAAAAATTAGAGGGCATTGGTTTGAGATGAGAAGGGTAGATTTGAAATGGACCTAAGGGGCAATTTTTTCACACAGACGGTTATGCGTGTATGGAATGAGTTGCCAGAGGAAGGGGTGGGGGCTGGTACAATTACAATATTTAAAAGGCATTTGGATGGATTTATGAATAGGAAGGGTTTAGTGGGATATGGGCCAAATGCTGACAAATTGGACTAGATTAATTTAGGATATCTGGTTGGCATGGACAAGTCGGACCGAAGGATGCGTTTCCATTCTAGGCAGTTCTACGACGACTCTGTATCATAGTTCAGGAGAGAGACCATGGAACATGGAAGGTACCACAGTGGTATGCGGGTATGAATAAATCAAGCAGCCTATTCGTTCTTTCTCTGATCCAGTCAGCTCTGCTAAGGATGACATGCAGATGTCAGGAGAGTTTTTTTTTTAAAACTTTGCCTTCCCCCAAATCAACACCTCGTCTATAGGCAGTAAGCAATGGCAAAGAATGAGAGTGGCACAAAGTATTAGAGGACAACTGACCAAGCAGTGGAACAAAGGAAGAGAACAGGGAGGAACCACTCAATGGAATCTGAATAAAAACCGAAAGAAATGCGGGTGCTGTAGATCAGAAACAAAAACAAAAGTTGCTGGAAAAGCTCAGCATCTGTGAAGGAAAAAACAGTTAACGTTTCGGGCCTGGTGACCCTACTCAGAAGGTGTGCAATGGAATGTGAACATTTGTTTTTGATTCAAATAGTTACAATTGTCCCTTTGATCATTTTCATAGTCTTCATTTTATTCATGAATTTCTGACTCTTCAGCACATATGTTCTAGAAGTCTACCAAAGATCTAGCAATAAGAATCTTTATTTCATAAAGACTTATTGCCCTTTTTAAAAAGACTCCAAGACTTTATTTTCAGGGTCAAACTTCTGAAGTTCTTGATAAAAACAGAACATTATCAATTCCCATCATCGAACAGCAAATCATTTCAGCCATGATACCCGTATGTTCAGTGAATGAAATCAATATACTGTGTTCAATGAATGTTCATGCCTTTTTCTTCTTCTTCTTCCACTTCACTTTATTCTACATCTTTAAAGGTAACAACTCTTATGGGATACAATTTTAAAACCTCATCCCAGTGGAGAGGGAGGTAAGGGAATCTGTTGACGACATTCTAGACAACAACTGTGAACGACAACGAACAGTGAAATCCTAAATGGAAAAACAAACACGCTGTCCAGCAGGAAGGCATAAATCCTGGATGTAAATTGGGAATGTTGGATATAACTAGACAGTTAGAGTCCAAATTAAGCATTCAGTTTGCTTTACAAAGTAGAGTATACATTTGAGAGAGAAGAACATAACTTACATCAAAAATCAGTCTGATAAGAGTAGGAAGGAATTTGGGTGTAGTAGGTGAAGATGGAGAAGTAAAAGCAAGGAAATGGAGCAATGTTAATTGTCAAATCTGCAACATTATGTGCTTCAAGATAACTAAGAGGAAGAAGAGTTTGCCATTGTGAATAGTCACATGTGGTCATCTAGAAGAATTCGAGGTCAAGCTGGTAAGGCATCAAGTCTGCACAAACTGCATTCTCTTTACCTTGGGGTACACTACCGGTGAAGTGGTATGGGAATGGTAATATAGAGGGGCTGGGAGCCAAAAGACACCTAAGACAGAGACAAGAGACACACTGAGCTGACCAACAAGAGCAGAAATGCTGTGTTAGGTGGAGAGTTAGAGGAGAGAAGTTAGGAATTCAAGAAAAATATAATGATTCCAAAACTTGGTGATCATTCAGAGGTATCATGGCTTTCCTGGTGAATTAAGTACATCTAAATACAGTACTGCATTCAAACATTTCTAATGCAGCTGCTCACCATTCACCAAGATATCTCCTTCTCCTTTATCTTAAGCTGCTGTTTAGAGACAGGATTAGGATACTGAAGTTAAAGACAAGTTGATGAAAACTGGTTGTAATATGCAAACACAAAGCAGTGACACTTCTAATATGGCAGCATCGTGTTTTTAATTTCATTCTCTAAACACTCATAAGACAGTTGGAATCCACTGTACAAGATGTTTCCATCAACTCATTTTTTCTAACCAACCTGTTCAGAGATGTTATTACACACATCTAGAACATGTAGCTCTTGAACCCAGGTCTCTCAGTTCAGGGCTGGGACACTACCACTTCACCACAAGAGGGCCCTCAGTGTTTTCATCAATAAGTAAAATGTGTGCCTCAGTTAAGCTTATTGAGCACAAATCATGGGACATGATGGTCTCAAGCAGTTTTCCTCAAAATGAGTGACTGGGAAATCTGTGGAGAGGTCTGTCAACAGGCAAGTTTTCCATCAAAAGCCCGAATTTGTTATAAACGAAATAATAGAAGTAAATAATGTGGATGCTGGAAATATGAAATAAAAACAAAACGCTGGGGAAAGCTCCTGTGGAGAGAATTAGATTTAACATTTCAAATCCTATATGACTTCTTCAGAAGCAATTTCTGCTTTTATGTATTTTGAAACAATTTGATTTCAAGTTAACATATGGCGTCACAGAGACTCTCCACCCATTCCTGCTCATTTTGAACAGAAACACTCCCTGATCCATGCTTTTTTTTTTAAAACGCCTCCATGCTCATATTTCAATTGTCCAACAGTCTACTGTGTGGCCTCCCACCTTGCATAAATGTCAACTCATTCCAACTTTCCCTGGTAGCCCAATTCACTTTGATCATTGACTTACACTGCCTCCCAGAATGGAGACGCCTTGATTTTAACACTTTTATCCTGTGTTCAATCTTTCCAAAGTCTTGTCACTAGATTTGTAACCTCCTCCAGCACTCAGATCTCTACATTCCATCAATTCAGGCCACTTGAATATCCCAGCTTGTATGAAGGCTCCAGGACGAGGCTTAGGATTCTCAAGACAGGGCACTGAAGCTACAGTTAAATTAAGCGTTATAAATGTGAGTATTGTTAAGGGGCTGTTTATGGGATTAATGGGATTGTATTTTACTGTATGTTCTGAAATCTTTAAATTCTTTAAATCTTTAAACTTGTGTTTTGTTGTTAAAACTAAATCTGCAGTATTGAATGCTTATGTTTCAGTGATAGACTATTTTGATAAAATTTTAAAAAAAATCAAAACAATCAATCATGCCAGACTTCAATCTGGGATCTGACTTGTTCAGTAACAGCATCAGCTGGAATCATAACATGGCTCGGAGACAAATTTGTTTGATATCCTTCTTGCGGAGACCACTGGGATGCTTTAATATCTTAAAGTAGTTATATAAATGGGAGTCATTGCTGGAATTACACACAAAGCTCAGGAATAATAAGAAGAAAGATTGGGTACTCAAATTGAGTGAACGGCTGAGAACCGATAGCCTTGTATGTTTGTATTTACTTTTATTTACATTGGTGTTTAACATTAGTGTAAACTGTAATGAGACATGGAGTTCTGCTGTTATGTGTAACAGACTGTCACAGCTCATTCTCCAAATGTCACTCAACGTTGAGCCAAATCATTAACAAGAGAACATTTTGATCTGTAACTGTAAACAGTCAGATCCAGTTACACATGGAGCCACACAAGTGCGAAGGTGTTAAAAGGCTGCAACACTAAAGAGTTTGAAGGAAGTCAAACCACAAAGGAAAGACTGACTGGAAACTGTCCCACAACGACACCATATTCCACTCCTATAAACTTCACTGAGTTTCTGCCAACTGCACTGAAACAAGTTCTAGTTAACTGCGTTTACTCTGGGGCAGTGATCAATCTTCTCCCTGTACTTGTACTGGGATTCACGAGATCTTCTAATTGGGGCCTTAGGAAGCTGTCCTGGGAGGTAATTGATAGAATCATGCAGACTCAGAAGAACTTCTGGGAATTAGTAGATGCACTACATATTGGGGCTAGGTCTCAGGAAAAGTTCTTGGAGCTGTGGGGTCTCAGCAGAATCCCGATCTCTTCGCACTGCCCATATCAAACACTCTCAGGGATATAGAAGGAGCTAAACACAAAATTAAGTACTCCCTAAACTTTTCTTACAATGTACATCAACCTATACTAAAATAGCCAAAGAATGGCAGATACTGGAAATCAGAAGCAAAAACAAACTGCTGGAAAAATTCAGCAGGTCTGGCAGCATCTGTGGAGAGAAAAGAAGAGTTAATGTTTCGGGTCTAGTTCTGAAGAAAGGTCACTGGGTCCAAAACATGAACTCTGCTTTTTCTCCACAGATGCTGCCAGACCGGCTGAGTTTTTCCAGCAATTTCTGTTTTTGTTCCATCAGCCTAAGTTCGGAAAAGCATTAGTTACTACACCACTGAATTTTATTTTCCTTAAATTTACCATCTTAATGAGAGGTGAAATATTTAAAATTAAGTTGCATTGTCATCACCGTCAATAAGTCTAGTTCGGTGTTCTGGTCACACCATTCACACACTTTTGAGAGAAATTGCAATGGATGGCCCAGAAATTAGTCAGTCATAAAACTGTACAGTGGATCAGGAGAGTCATTGACTAGAATGCCACTAGTAGGCTCAGGATTTTCATACCTCTATATCGGCCTCCGGGTTTAATAACTATCGCGCCACGGCTTCGAGTCTCCTCCTCTGCTTGAGTCATACGCTCCCTGGTCATTTGGTAGGAGTCATCTGTCGCGCACACAGTGATTTTGTCCTGGATGCCTCCAAGACAGTCTAACAGCACACTACCAAAGCTATCGGAAAACAAACAAAGATGACATTCAATTAGAAAGCGTTTTAAATATGAAAGGTAAACACAGGAAGAAAACCATATCACATTACATAACCTGGAAGAAACTACCATGAAAGTTCTTATGGATTTATCCAGAGGGTATCAAAGCCATGAAGAACAAGAGGAGTAAATTCAATGCTGAACAGATGCTGTCTTAGCCCACAGTAAAACCTCTAAAACAGAGAGACAGTGGTGTTAGCCGCTTGTAAAACGGCACAAGGAAAAGCGGGGACACCAGCTTCTGAAATAGTTACAGCGTGCACAGGGACAAGTTTCTACAAAGCATGAGAGAACAGGGACAGTACCTTCTACAGCAGCACAAGTGAACATGGGGAGGCAGCTTCATAAACAGCAGGAAAAGCAGCTTTTTATACAGAGCATGAAAGTGGGGACAGCAGCTTTATAAAAAGTGCAAGTGAGTCTGTGAACAATAATTTTATAAAGAACAGGATAGAATGGATAAAGCAGCTTCTTTTTTATTTATTCACAGGATACAGACGTTGCTGGCTGGGCCAGCATTCCTAGTTGGTGTTGAGCTCTCTTATTATTGCAGTGCATTTGGTGCCTACAATGCTGTTAGGAAGAGCATTCGCAGATTTTGAACCAACAACACTGAAAGAACAGAGAAAAATTTCCAAGTCAGGATGGTTAGTGTCTTGGAGGGGAACTTGTAGATGGTGGCATTCCCATGTATCTGCTGCCCTTTTCCTTCTAGATGGTAGTGGCTAAGAGTTTGGAAGGCACTGTAGAAGGTGAATTTCTTTCTGCAGTGCATCTTGAAGATAATACACTGTTGTACTGAGTATTCGTGGTGGTAAGAGTGAATTTGATGCCAATCAAGTGGGCTGCTTTGTCCTCAATGGTGTTAAGCTTCTGTGCGTTGTTGGAACTGCATGAGGGCAAGTGGTGACCATTCCATCACACTCCTGACTTATGCCTTGCAGATGGTGGACAGGCTTTTTTCTCCCCCTATTCATTCACGGGATGAGGGCATCACTGGCTAGGCCAACATTTATTACCTATCTCTAATTACCCAGAGGACAGTTAGAAGTCAACTGCATTGCTGAGAGTCTGGAGTTACATGTAGACCAGACCAAGTAAGGATGGCAATTTCCTTCCCAGAAGGACATTAGTGAACCAGGAACAAAAACAGAAGTTGCTGGAAAAGCCCAGCAGGTTTGGCAGCATCCGTGAAGAAAAAAAATCAGTTAACGTTTCAGGTCCAGTGATCCTTCCTCTGACATTCGTGAACCAGTTGGGCTTTTCCAACAATCGAAAATTGATTCATGGTTGTCATTAGACTCTTAATTCCAGGCTTTTATTGAATTCAAATTCCACCATCTGCTGTGGCAGGATTCAAGCATCCAATGATAATACCACTAGGAATGTCACCTCCACTGCTGTGCAGAATGAAGGGAGTTACTCATTGCAGGAGGCCTTGCTCCTGATCTGCTCTTTAGCTACAGTATTTATACGACTAATCCAGTTCAAATTCCTGTCAATTGCAGCCTGCAAGATGTTGACAGTGGGGAATTCATCTCGGAATTGGCAAAGATGGCAGCAGTCTGAGCTCCTGGTCTGGGACTCATTTGCTTTTTGATTTTTCTTCCTTCTTTTGCTCTTTTTCTTTCTTTCCTCTATAAAAGCCTTTATCAGTGTCTTCAGCAAGATGAGAGTGGGCATGGCCTTCCATGAGCATCGGCAGCAGCAAAACGTGCATGTGTTGGGGAGTGGGGTCAGGGAGTGGTGGTGAACCCAGCAGGGAGGGGGAGAGCGAGCCTGTGATGTCAGCAAGGCAGGCCCAATGAAGTGATGGCCCAAGGGCACAGTGGCAACATCAACCGCGGCGACAGTCTCCAATGTTAGTGTGCTTAGTGCAGGCGATGGTGAAGGTGAATCTACCCAGTGGTTAAAGATGGCACCTGAGGATCAGTGACTTCAACATTAGTTGGTCTGGCAAGCCAGTGGTGATTCTGAGCCAGCTCAAAACTCATATGTAGAAGGACTTCTCTAAGCTGTATCTTTCCATTTTCTCTTATTCTTTAACTATCAAAATGGCACCAGATGAAAGCTTTTCACTGGATTGAATCATATTTCACTGTAAAATACTGGTGACAATAAACGATTCATTCAGTGATAGAAATGTCATTGAATGTCAGAGGCGATGATTAGATTCTTGTTTTGTTCAGTACAGTCATTGCTTAGCGTTTGTGTGACATGAATGTTACTTGGCACTTGTCACTCCAAGCCGTGATATTGTCCAGGTCCTTCTAAATTTGGACACGGACTGCTTCTCAAGTAGCCTGACAGCATGTGGGAAAAGCAGCTTTAAGGAGCAGAGCTGCATGAGAAGTGGCAGCAGGAGGTAAAAGTGGAGCAGAGATCCTCTTCAACCTGCTTCGATTTGTTCGAGCTTAAGTGTGATGTCACAGGAAAATAGGTAGGTAATTGGTGGGTGTTTCATACAATACCGAAGATGCTATTCAGCCCATCAAGTCTGTACTGCCAAAACAATACTAAACCTATTCTAGTCCCTTTTTTCAAATTCATTCACGGGATGGGGGCGTCACTGGCAAGGCCAGCATTTATTGCCCACCCCTAATTGCCCAGAGGACAGTTAAGAGTCAGCCACATTGGTGTGGGTCTGGAGTCACATGTAGGCCAGACCAGGTAAGAATAACAGTTTCCTTCCCTAAAGGACATGAGTGAACCAGATAGGTTTCCCCGACAATCAGCAGTGTATTCATGGTCATCATCAGACTCTTAAATTCCAGATAGTTATTGAATTCAAATTCGACCATCTGCTGTGACAGGATTTGAACCCAGGTCCCCAGAACATTACCTGGGTCTCTGGATTAACAGTCCAGCGAAAATACCACTAGGTTTACAGCTTTGAATGTTGTGACATTTCAGGTACTCATCCAAGTACTTTATTAAAAGATTGTGAGGCTTCCACCTCAACTACCCTCCCAGGCAGTGCATTCCAAATCTCCTACCATCTAGGTGGAAATCACTGTCCTCAAATTTCCTCTAAACCTCCTGCCTTCCACCTTACCTGCATGTCCCCTTGTTACTGATTGTTCAACTAAGGGAACAGCTGCTTTCTACTTACCCTGTCTGTGACCCTCAATCATGTACACCACTATCAGGTCCCCTCATTCATCTCTGCTCCAAAGACAACTTGAGCATATCCAAAGATAACACAGTGTGGAGCTGGAGAAGTACAGCAGGCCAGGCAGCATCAGAGGAACAGGAAAGTTGATGTTTTGGGTCGCGACCCTTGTAAATTATCCACTTTGGTACAAAGAAATGATATGCAAAGTATTTCTGAATTGCTGAGAGGGTGGTAAGTACAGGGATGGAAAGTGTAGATGTGCAAAGGGATTTGTATGTCCTTGTCAATGCATCACTGAAGACTAACGTGAAGGTGCAGTGAGCTCTTGTGATAAAGGATAATGTTCTATTAGCCTTACTAAGAGAATAAGAGGACAGGAGGAATGAAATCTTGCTTCAACTCTTTAGGAGCTTGGTTAGAGCACATGCAGTACTGTTCCTATGTTTTGATGAGGGATTACAAATAGCTTGGGGTTAATTAAAAAGGCAACCATAAAAGTAATAATCGCTAGATCACAACATGAACCACATGCAAACTGACATAGGGCAAAAATTATTACTGGTAAATATCTAGCTTAAAGATTGACATGGGAGAAACGTGTTCCATTTCACGAACTACTGGCAGCAGTATTAGGAAAAGAGAACTGTTTTACTGAGACAGGTTTCATTTGAACCCATGTTGGAAGCAGTGATCTAACAAACTATTTAACTCAGATTGCAGATAGGGTTTTAAACTAATTAGTGAGGAGGAGGGTTTAATTTAAGAGGTTTAAAAATATCAAAGAAATGAAAAAGCAGAGGTGCAAGGTAGTTTTTTTTTATTCTATTCACAGGATGTGGGGGTTTCTGGCTAGGTCAGCATTTATTGTTCATCCCTAATTGCCCAGAGGCAATTTTATATCAACCACATTGCTATGGATCTGGAGCCACGTATAGTCTGAACCAAGTAAGGATAGCAGTTTCCTTTCCTGAATAACATTAGTGAACCAGATGGGATTTTCCCAACAATTAATAACAATTTCATTGCCATTGTTCGACCCTTAGTCCCAGATTCTTTTAAATTTAAATTTCTCCATTTGCCACGTTCATCTTCCAGAGAGGACTTAATGTCTGGAATTCTCTACTCCAGAGAGTTGGAGAGAAGAGTAGATCACAGTATTCAAAGAGATAGATAGATAATTGTTTAAGATATCATGAAGTTGAAGTCTATGATGAACTGGCATGAAATGAATTAAGGCCTGGAGTAAATCAGCTACGAGCTTAGTCAATCAACGGCCTGAACGGCTTTCTCCTACATCTATTTTTTTGATGTCCTTCCTCCCGCTCAAAAAACACAGTACTGATTGCAGAATCATTCTGGGGGAATTGATGGCTCAAACCTGCAACTGTCACGACATAATTCCTTAACTAATCACAGTATAATTTAGACAAACGTGAGGTTATTCACTTCAGAAGCAAAAACAAGAGGGCAGATTACTACGTAAATGGCTGTAAATTGAGAGAGAGGAGTGTGCAGGGGGCCTGGGCATCCTTGTGCACCAGTCGCTGAAGGTCAGCATGCAGGTGCAGCAGGTGGTAAAGAAGGTAAATGGTATGTTGGCCTTCATTGCGAGGGGTTTTGAGTACAGGAGCAGGGATGTGTTGTTGCAGTTATACAGGGCCATGGTGAGGCCACACCTGGAATATTGCGTGCAGTTTTGGTCTCCTTTTTTAAGGATGCTCTTGAGGGAGTGCAGTGAAGGTTTACCAGGCTGATTCCAGGGATGGCGGGTATGACATATAAGGAGAGGTTGACCAAGTTAGGATAGCTTTCGCTGGAGTTCAGACAAATGAGGGGGGACCTCAGGG